TCATAAACATATATATGGGTCACATCAATTTCATTTATGGTTTTCTGTATTTTTGGTGAAGCAAATGTATATCTATTGAAAGACAATGTACAAACAGCCGTTTAATAGCAGATTGCGAATGCTTAAAAGCGAATGATTAATTAGTATAACGCTCGTGTAATAAATTCAGGAAGAGACATCCATGCACTTAAACGAAAACTGGGAAAGATATACATGTTGTATAGCCTCCCTGCAAATATCCGACTGCGACGATGGATAAAATACATATAATCTTTATTACAAGTAATGGCAATTAGTTACAGAAGGCACTATGACCAATATTTTCCCTGGGCGGAGACCCGCTCTATCACTTGCACATAGCTAGGAAGTCGGATGTGCTTCTCGAGACATGGAGAACCTCTTTATAAAAGTTATCAGGAACATGTACAATGTTCCGCCCCTAAATCAAATTAGGCAACATAATGCATCAAATACCTCTTTAATTTGAGTTTACGATTATTAGATGTAATTGTTACTTATATAAGAATGGATGTGGGTGAGTGAGTTGTGTTTAACGCCGCTTTTAACAGTATTCCAGTTATATCGCGGCGTGTCAGCTTAATGTGGGAGGAAAGGCCGAAGTGATGCAGGTCTGAGACGTTTACCAATTCGGTGAAACCCACGAGCACAGGTATGGTGCTGACAAACCAAGAAACATAATTCGAGGGAACCGGGATTCGAACCCACAATGCCAAGGGATGCAACTCTGCACAGCGAATCGCGGCGCCTTAGACGACTGGGCCACCCGTGCCCCCAGAATGGATAAGAACTTAAAAATGTTTTATATGGAAATACAAATTAAACCGAAGATAGTAATTTACGACCAGAAACGAGACATGTTTTATCTTATGAAATTGGTAGCTTTGGAATATACCTCTGACACACTAGTTATAAACTAGTGACGTACAAGTGATGCACTAGTTAGACATCTATAGACTGCTATATAATTATTTATCTGTAAACCTTTGAAATGTCTAATAGTATGTAAACGTATCTGTTCATCTATAGGACTCTTTTTTTTATTACCACTAATCTTTTGCTAAGTCTGTTTATTAAACTATTCTGTACAATGTATGATGTAATTTATACAGGAGAGAGATATCTATATTGGGGAAACTTTGTTTATAAATCCCCATCCAATGTACATACGATTGTAGAAATATATACTGTTTAAGTTTCATAATTTCAAATACATTATCCCCAAACAACATTCTAGTCTATAACATTTTATGTTAATGTTTCCATATAAAAACAATACAAATTGGATTTTACACATCTAGTCCGAATGCATGTATACACTCCCCGACATATAAGCTTATGAAGTTGTCATGTAGGCCTACACTTTTTAAATTTTGGATAACGCCCAGAAATTGTCAATACTAATTTTTAAAAGCTCTAAATATTTCAAAGGCAGCAACACTGGCATTACAAGTGCAGAAAGTTTTATGAAATTAATTTAAGACATTATAGTGACATTCATGCTCCCCAATGACACAGCCCTTAAATTCGACTTCCTAGCTATGGAAACTGTCCAACATTCAATTTTGGAAAATCTTTAAATAGCAACAGGCACCAGTGCTCAATGTGATCAGTAAGTGTATGGAGTTTCGTGAGGCTAGATTGATAAGTGTTCGAGATATGAAAATAAATGACCACAGACGGACGGACGGACGGACAGACAGACTGACGACTGACGACGATATATCCCCCGACAGGCAAGTCTAACATGTTTTCTGTATATTAATGATAATCATCATGATCAACATAATCATCACCAACAGCACCTTCATCTCCATGTTATTGTTTTTGCTTTGACAAATACAGGCAGTAAGTGCAGTGAACGTTGGCATATATCGTAGCCGGCGACAATATATGACGTAACACGGTATTTGCAGTTAGGGCCTGATGACGTCGTGTGGTGTTTCACATGGTGCACATCTTGCTCAATTCTACAGTTATGAGTACTTTCAGTATGTACGGACGTCAGTTTCGTCTCTTTTTGTGACAATTTGTTCTCGAAGGGTTAGTGTGTCATAACAGACAGATAGTTGCATCTGAGGGGATTAATAAGAATGCTAAAGTATTTGGGACAAACACTGGATCAATAGCAGAGTAGAAGGTGGCAGCTATTATTTGAAAAATGACACAGGTGCTTTTGTTTTAGGGTCTGTGAAAAGAATTTGTGACAAGTAAGAATAATCATGGGTTATATTGGGAGAAGAACACTCTTGAAGACATTTATTACAGACAATATAAAATCGAAAATGTATAGCAGATACCTTCAATCCAACATGGCTGCCAAACCAGATCACGATTGACAAAGATGGATTAATCATAACTCCAGTCGGTTTCAATTTGTAATGAACAAACCATCGCTCATTTACCAATGAAAGGTTATTCAACTGGATTATATTGAGTTGACGTGGTGATGTTCAGAGTCCAGTACCAACCAGACAGAATCTGTTCATCGAAGGTTCTCAAATCCCATACTCAAACCAGTTATGATCCTGTGTTTTTCAGCACAATACCCGTCTTGGTAGATTCAACTATGGCTATAAACGTCTAAGACCTACAGCACTTTGTGCCTTTCTCCGACATCAAGCTGACACGTCGTGCTATCACTGAAGGACATTCCAGAGCTGCATTAAACCCAAACTCACTCACTCACTACTCAGTATCAATGTAAAAGTTTAGTAACCATGTCATTAAGTGACATTTTGAAGTAGATACATATTTTAATCACCTAAATTCCGATATCTCGAGGCCATGCGTTACCAGAAGCGCTTTGTGAGTGAGTGAGCCTTTAGCAAAATTCCAGCTACGAGTATATTAAGGCGGGGACACCAGAAATAAGCTTCAAGCACTGTTCACATGTGGGAATTTAATTTGAGTATTTCTTTGAGACAGGGGGTTATTGAATACTGTATAGAATGCATGTGTTACTCCTTCAACATGAACGTTTTGTTTCACCTGTAATGAAACCCGAGTCCGCGGTGACAGGGAACGATGCTCCGCAATATATGGTCAGGTTGTGTAATTTAAAGAACAAATGAAGTAGAAATGTTGCAACATGATTTAATAACATGTATTTCAAATGACAATGACATTAATTATATGACATAAAGCTTCATTCCTGAACATATACAGTCCTAGCAACTGAATATTACCCAAACCATGAATATTCATCATGCTTACATTTCGAAAACTGACAAAACAAGATCTGACTCGGGAAGGGAAACAGAGACGATGCAAAACCCAAACATAATGTGGATGGTCATAAGTAACAGTTCTGTGTCAGTCTGGACGCAGATCACACATCACTGGATATGGACAACTCGAATTGTTCGTCATCTTCATGTTCATCAGGAACGAGAGGTGCCCGGATGGTCATCAAGCCGCCATTTAGAACACTTTTCAGTTCAGACTCGGCCACATTTTCGGGAACATGTATTCGCCGTGTTAGTTTCTCAACCTCGAAGAAATCGTCGCCATCTACTTCACGCTCTGCCTCAACGATCAGTATGCCCTCTTTGAATCGTACCCGTATGTTATTTGGTTGGTAGTCAGAAAGGTCAATTTGAACTTTAAACTCTGGATTGACGCCGGTGGCTTCAGTTATTACGACGTCAGGTTTGATTGCGACAGAACCTGTGTCGTCAGCAAACGTATCCCCTTTACGTTTGCTTCCTTCTCTCCCACACACTGAAGTCTCCTGAGCTCTGTCTGCTGATCCCGGCTTCTCCACAGGCAGTAATCTCTCTCCGCCATCTTCGGCCACTTTCTTGTCAGGCCGATCTGCAGCACATACGCGTGACTCTTCCGTCCCTGTTGGTCTCTCGCCATCACATTCAGCGGTGTTTTCAGTATCAGCCACTTGCTTGTCGGACGTCTTTCTCTCGGTAGACTCATCTCTGGTGTTTCTTGTCCCCTCAAAGGCTAAATGCTTCTCAACAATCACTTCCCCATTAACAAACCTGCACACGATTCCCGTGTTGTCAGCATCGGGAGGCAGCGGGAGTGATCTTTTGACCCGGAAGGAGGCGTTTGGATGATTCCGCTGCCCACAGACGGTAACTGTTTCCTCGGTCACCTTCACCTTGATCTCATCAGGATTAAACCCCCGAAAATCCAGAATAGCAAGCGTTTCCGACTTCGTCACTTTAGGTTGTTTACGCATTATGGGGCATTCTTCTGACCTTTCTCTGCGTTTCTTCAAGCACGATATCTGTGTGGATGAATCGGTATGTGAACCAAAGGGTCGATAATGTAAGCGAAACTTTCCACCTCTGGTCCTAGGTTCCCATGGCGACTGAATCCTGGGTTTAAGCATCTCCTGAAAACCACTATGCTTGCCAATCCCATGTTGGCAGCCAGGTTTTCGGGGTATATATCCCCGACGCCGAAGCCCGGCATTCTCAGACATGTGGACTGGAACGATTTGAATGAACATGATGTGTCAGAGTCAACCTGAGTAGTCTTACGATATACTCTGTAATATGTGTAGATATATATGAGGTCAGTGTGGCTGAAGTGGCTCAGTATTCGACTGACCAGTGAATAACAAGTGGTCAAATCCCCGGTCTTATATACCTATAGTACACTGAGCTAGAAACTGACGGATCTTTCCAGATTTTGCGACAACGTGCTTTTGTTTATTGAACTGCGTATCACGTGATCAGGTCTAAATATAGCTGGGCTTACCGGCTGCATAACATGTCACTGATTGTCCGGGAACATTCCAGTGTGTTGCTCTCAGATAAATGCGGAAATGATAACATGCTATGCTAAATAGTGACGTAAATATTAACTTTAATATAGAGTGACCTGATTGCATACTATTTGTCAGCAGTGGCTGCATGACAACGAAGCCAGCAAAGGGTATTCCCCACAGCCGTGGACAGGCTATCGCGCAAACACTACGTCTATTATTAGCAACAGTATTATTTCCCTTAATCTTATTGGCTGGTCTGAAAGTTATGGCACATTCGAGGTCATTCTCCACCAGGTAGGATATATAAACACTTGTACTAGTTGTCGGTTGCATCAGAAAAGCTTGGCGTGAAAGGGAGAAACAGATCTAGCAAACCCACTGGTCGTACGTTTCGAACTGTGCTGACCGTCAGTGAAAATGCTGCGACAAATTGTGCCACGGATTTGTCGACAACTGCGCAATAATCACATTGCTTGTGTCCGCGGCTACAGGAGAGATCTCCCCATTCGATTTCCGTGGTCCAGATCAAATTCACCATGGGATTCATTCTTCTCGGATATGCGTCCATTCTTCCGATCCAGCATCGAAGACCACTTTCGTGACAAGAACAAGACAATGGATGAGATGATGAGACGCATGGCGTCCAACAGGCCAATGTTCCACAACCGCTCGACACCCGGTCAGACCATCACCAGGACAGAGTCCGCAGAGGTAGGTTAATTGGAGCATTCAATTGATTTAAGGCTTTATTTCATTCCATTTATTATCTATTTATTCCATTATTTATCATCCAGTTCAATCAGGTTCATGTTTGGAGTAGTTGTCTAATACATCGAGGAACTGAGAAGTGATCGACATAATGGGAAACAAAATGCTTGTGATGTCATCTTAGTCAGGTTACTTCCTTCAAGCTGTGATTGAAATGTTGGAGCATATCAATCCATTAATTGTTATGATTTCCTGATGCGTTGAATCAGAATTACCGTCAATTGGACGATTAGTACGTACCAGTGTTAGTTTCCGGAGTAGAAGTCGTACTATTACAGCCAGTGCACATTTATCATTATCATAACGTTATCATTTGCAATATTCTTATCTGAAACTTTGCTGCATCCACCTGACAGCTTTGTCCCTGGTTACAGGTCAAGTACGACAAGAACAGGTTCGAGGTGAAGGTCGACGTCCAGCAGTATGAGGTGGAGCACCTGAAGGTCAGCCAGCTGGAGAACAGGCTGGTCATCTCGGGCAAACACGAGGCCAGGGCAGATGACCACGGATTTGTCAGCAGGGAATTTACACGGGAGTTTCTCCTACCCGAGGTATGTCTCACTTCAGGTAAACTCTACGGCTATATATATATATATAGAGAGAGAGAGAGAGAGAGAGAGAATAAAGAATTACTTTTAAGCTTTACTTTCAAAGTATGAAGCGTATTCGTGCGTTATATATTCGCACATCCAAGATGAAGTAGCCATTCACCAGACAATGTGTTAAATACAGAGTTGGAAACGCGAATGAAGGGAGACAACTCGGTTAGCCCTATTCTCAGTCAGCATGAGCGCCTGATGCAACTCAATAAGATAGTTACATGTCGCAGTGGGTGGGATTCTTCTAGAGTAATACTGTTGTGATATTATAAACAATGACGACATGTTCTAAGCAAAAGTGAATGACATGTTTGTACAAATAGAAATTGAGAGAGTACTGCCGCGATGAATATGGCAGCTGAATACTAGTGGCCTGTAGACTAGTCTTGAGAAGCTAAATATCTAATACCGGGTACATCATTTTCGCATATAATGTGAATATCAAGGACGCTATCGGTCATGAATTACATAACGTTCCGATTGAAATCGCTTTATTATTATTTAAATATCGTGTGATTCAAAAATCATCATCAAAACGAATATTAATGACATTTTAGTCTTAATAGGAACCGTTATTTGTGATGTATTATATTATTTCTAACTATATACAACTTGAATGACTCAGTGTGAGTGTTTGGTATGTAAAAGAACAGGACTGCATAGAACAATGACATAAATATCCCACCTGACAATTGGGTCTTTCTAAGGAATCAAACATTTTTTTCCAGAACGTTGACACAGAAAGTATGACGTCACGACTAACAGAAGACGGTTTCCTGCTGATAGAGGCCAAGATGAAAGGAGCAGAGGACAGCACGGAGAGAGTGATAGAAATACAGAAGGAAGGGACGAATAAGGAGGGAGAGAAGAAGACAGATTGAAAAACCAATGAAAGTGGCAGCTGTGACATGGAGTGACAGAGGGAGATGATGGATGCAAGATGAGATGTTTTATTGGATGTACACATTAATATGAATCTTTACGAATTTGTTGTGAAAACGTAAACAAATAATTTTGCCGTTGTCATTTCACACATAGTTTTCTTAATTCCGTTTCAGAAACATTTATGCGACATGTTATAGTTCAAATAGAAGTAAGTTCTTCAGGGGATTTGTGAGTATCATAAAACAATGGCTGTACTTTCTTTTATTTCAAACCTGAAAATGAAGTTGCGAAATTGAAGAATAAAACAAGTGTATCCCTATAGTTTGAAGCATTATTTGTATATGCCCTTCGATTCTTACAATAGGACATTGTCAACTTATTGGATTATGTGGTTTGGTTCGAATATATGTCGAGACTGATCAATGTTCACACTGTTGATCAAAGGTTTATACAATTCTGATTCAACTTCATGTTAGGCACCGTCATCGATATGCTGGACAACGCGGTGAGCCGCGTAATTTCTTGGTCATTCACTCACTTACCGGTATTGTGTTATGGTGACGTATTTCCCGTAGATTCACTCTGAATTCACCCTGTTTCTAGGTCCGTCAGCACCACACCCGTGCTCGTTGGTTTCACCATAGGGGTAAACCTCTAATATCTTAATCACTACGGGCTCTCCCTCCCCGTGATATTGCTGGAAATTTGCTAAAGGTCCAGACAGCGCTTCTGATAACGCATGGCTTCGAGATATTGGAATCATGGGGAAAACAAAACCTGTATTTACTTTATTAACATCGGCGTAAACCCACCCACTTAACTAACATCAAGATTATCACGAACATTTAGTCTGAAGAAATTCACAGAAACGGTAACTGCGCATCTTGGCAGCATATTATTAAACAATTTTGTCGGGTACATGAAGCAACAACACATTGGTCAATATTACATGCTTATATACAAGGTTGTCCCGGGGGTATGGGCTCAGGGTATGCGGCCGCACAGAGAGTACACCAAACCGTATTTCCCTAAGAATAAGGCTACAACCAGTCTTATTTACCATGTTTCATATTTACCACAATATGAATACAAAAGTACATTATGATGCGAAGCGTTTGTTTTTTTGTCGCTACGTTCTGTGTATCACCTACACCTAAAGTCAATACCAATAATATATACATTATGCGACGCCATTTCGCTGCAGGAACTTTGTATTGCCGAGTTTTATTGAAACTTCTATGTGTTCTAAGTAACTGCAAGTAGTAACAAGTAGTAGACCCGTGAAGATCTGGGGTAGAATAGGTCTTCAGAACCCATACTCCAACGGGATTGGGTTGTCAGGCTCGCTGACTTGGTTCATGCATGTCATCGTATCATAATTTCATGGATCGATGCTCATGATTTCAATCCCTGAATTGTCTGGTTCAGACTCCAATATTTACAGACCGCCGTCATATAGCTTGGATATTGCTGAGTGCGGCGTTAAACAACAAACAAACAAAATAAGTAAAGAAACACATGCAAACTATCGTCCTTTCATTTCAATTGTTTAATCTTCGAGTAGACATTGGTATTCCCTTCATACTTAATAATGTCTGGACTCAAATGGCAAAAGTGCTACAGTTTATTGGTTAATGTAGGAATGGCACTAAGCTCACTCTCCCACACACTGTGTGTTTACTTTCGGCTCATATACCAGGATACATCCGTGTTTTATTGACGTCACAAGATTCATACCCAGACCCAACCAACAGTGGCTACATCCATGACACCTCTCCACCTCTTCAAAATCCGCTCCTTGACTCTTCCATACCCACCCCTTACTTCTTCCATACCCGTCCCTTACCTCTTCAATACCCGCCCCTTACTCCTTCCATACCCGCCACCTACCTCTTCCATACCCGCCACCTACCCCTTCCATACCCGCCACCTACCTCTTCAATACCCGCCACTTACCTCTTCAATTCCCGCCCCTTACCTCTTCCATACCCGCCACCTACCTCTTCAATACCCGCCACTTACCTCTTCCATACCCGCCACTTACCTCTTCAATACCCGCCCTTACCTCTTCCATACCCGCTACCTACCTCTTCCATACCCGCCTCTTACTCCTTCCATACCCGCCCCTTACTCCTTCCATACCCGCCACCTACCTCTTCCATACCCGCCCCCTACCTCTTCCATACCCGCCACTTACCCTTTCCTTACCCGCCACTTACCCTTTCCATACCAGCCCCTTACACCTTCAATACCCGCCACTTACCTCTTCAATACTCACCTCTTACTACTTCCATACCCGCCTCTTACTCCTTCCATACCCGCCACTTACTCCTTCCATACCCGCCACCTACCTCTTCCATACCCGCCCCTTACTCCTTCCATACCCGCCACCTACCTCTTCCATACCCGCCACTTACCTCTTCCATACCCGCCTCTTACTCCTTCCATACCCGCCACCTACCTCTTCAATACCCGCCACTTACCTCTTCCATACCCGCCACTTACCTCTTCAATACCCGCCCTTACCTCTTCCATACCCGCTACCTACCTCTTCCATACCCGCCTCTTACTCCTTCCATACCCGCCCCTTACTCCTTCCATACCCGCCACCTACCTCTTCCATACCCGCCACCTACCTCTTCCATACCCGCCCCCTACCTCTTCCATACCCGCCACTTACCCTTTCCTTACCCGCCACTTACCCTTTCCATACCAGCCCCTTACACCTTCAATACCCGCCACTTACCTCTTCAATACTCACCTCTTACTACTTCCATACCCGCCTCTTACTCCTTCCATACCCGCCCCTTACTCCTTCCATACCCGCCACCTACCTCTTCCATACCCGCCACTTACCTCTTCCATACCCGCCTCTTACTCCTTCCATACCCGCCACCTACCTCTTCCATACCCGCCCCTTACCCTTTCCATACCCGCCACCTACCTCTTCCATACCAGCCACCTACCTCTTCCATACCCGCCACCTACCTCTTCCATACCCACCCCTTACTCCTTCCATACCCGCCACCTACCTCTTCCATACCCGCCTCTGACCCTTTCCATACCCGCCACTTACCTCTTCCATACCCGCCTCTTACTCCTTCCATACCCGCCACTTACCCTTTCCATACCCGCCACTTATCTCTTCAATACCCACCCCTTACTCTTTCCATACCCGCCACCTACCTCTTCCATACCCGCCTCTTACTCCTTCCATACCCGCCACCTACCTCTTCCATACCCGCCACCTACCTCTTCAATACCCGTCACTTACCCCTTCCATACCCGCCACCTACCTCTTCCATAGCCGCCACTTACCCCTTCCATACCCGCCCCTTACCCCTTCCATACCCGCCCCTTACTCCTTCCATACCCGCCACCTACCTCTTCCATACCCGCCCCTTACTCCTTCCATACTCGCCACCTACCTCTTCCATACCCTCCTCTTACTCCTTCCATACCCGCCACCTACCTCTTCCATACCCGCACCTTACCCCTTCCATACCCGCCACTTACCCCTTCCATACCCGCCACTTACCCCTTCCATACCCGCCACCTTCCTCTTCCATACCCGCCATCTACCTCTTCCATACCCGCCACTTACCCCTTCCATACCCGCCACTTACCCCTTCCATACCCGCCACCTACCTCTTCCATACCCGCCACTTACCCTTTCCATACCCGCCACTTACCCCTTCCATACCCGCCACCTACCTCTTCCATACCCGCCTCTTACTCCTTCCATACCCGCCACTTACCCTTTCCATACCCGCCACTTACCTTTTCCATACCCGCCTCTTACTCCTTCCATACCCGCCACCTTCCTCTTCCATACCCGCCATCTACCTCTTCCATACCCGCCACCTACCTCTTCCATACCCCCCCTTACCTCTTCCATACCCGCCCCTTACACCATCCATACCCGCCACCTACCTCTTCCATACCCGCCCCTTACCTCTTCCATACCCGCCCCTTACACCATCCATACCCGCCACCTACCTCTTCCATACCCTCCTCTTACTCCTTCCATACACGCCCCTTACTCCTTCCATACCCGCCGCCTACCTCTTCCATACACGCCCCTTACTCCTTCCATACCTGCCACCTACCTCTTCCATACCCGCCACTTACCCTTTCCTTACCCGCAACTTACCCTTTCCATACCCGCCCCTTACACCTTCAATACCCGCCACCTACCTCTTCAATACCCACCACTTACCTCTTCAATACCCGCCCCTTACTCCTTCCATACCCGCCACCTACCTCTTCCATACCCGCCTCTTACTCCTTCCATACCCGCCACCTACCTCTTCCATACCCGCCACTTACCCTCTCCATACCTGCCACTTACCCTTTCCATACCCGCCACTTACCTCTTCCATACCCGCCCCTTACTCCTTCCATACCCGCCACTTACCTCTTCCATACCCGCCCCTTACCTCTTCCATACCCGCCACCTACCTCTTCCATACCAGCCACCTACCTCTTCCATACCCGCCACCTACCTCTTCCATACCCGCCACCTACCTCTTCCATACCCGCCCCTTACCTCTTCCATACCCGCCACTTACCCCTTCCATACCAGCCACCTACCTCTTCCATACCCGCCCCTTACCTCTTCCATACCCGCCACTTACCTCTTCCATACCAGCCACCTACCTCTTCCATACCCACCACCTACCTCTTCCATACCAGCCACCTACCTCTTCCATACCCGCCACTTACCTCTTCCATACCCGCCACTTACCCCTTCCATACCTGCCCCTTACCTCTTCCATACCCGCCACTTACCTCTTCCATACCCGCCACTTACCCCTCCCATACCCGCCCCTTACCACTTCCATACCCGCCACCTACCTCTTCCATACCCGCCCCTTACTCCTTCCATACCCGCCACCTACCTCTTCCATACCCGCCCCTTACCTCTTCCATACCCGCCACTGACCTTTTCCATACCTGCCCCTTACCTCTTCCATACCCGCCACTTACCTCTTCCATACCCGCCCCTTACCTCTTCCATAGCCGCCCCTTACCTCTTCCATACCTGCCCCTTACCTCTTCCATACCCGCCCTTTACCTCTTACATACCCGCCACTTACTTCTTCCATACCCGCCCCTTACCCCTTCCATACCTGCCCTTTACCTCTTACATACCCGCCACTGACCTCTTCCATACCCGCCACCTACCTCTTCCATACCCGCCACTTACCCCTTCCATACCCGCCACTTACCTCTTCCATACTTGCCCCTTACCTCTTCCAGACCCGCCCCTTACCTCTTCCATACCCGCCCCTTACCTCTTCCATACCCGCCACTTACCCCTTCCATACCAGCCACCTACCTCTTCCATACCCGCCCCTTACCTCTTCCATACCCGCCACTTACCTCTTCCATACCAGCCACCTACCTCTTCCATACCCGCCACCTACCTCTTCCATACCAGCCACCTACCTCTTCCATACCCGCCCCTTACCTCTTCCATACCCGCCACTTACCCCTTCCATACCTGCCCCTTACCTCTTCCATACCCGCCACTTACCTCTTCCATACCCGCCACTTACCCCTCCCATACCCGCCCCTTACCACTTCCATACCCGCCACCTACCTCTTCCATACCCGCCCCTTACTCCTTCCATACCCGCCACCTACCTCTTCCATACCCGCCCCTTACCTCTTCCATACCCGCCACTGACCTTTTCCATACCTGCCCCTTACCTCTTCCATACCCGCCCCTTACCTCTTCCATACCCGCCCCTTACCTCTTCCATAGCCGCCCCTTACCTCTTCCATACCTGCCCCTTACCTCTTCCATACCCGCCCTTTACCTCTTACATACCCGCCACTTACTTCTTCCATACCCGCCCCTTACCCCTTCCATACCTGCCCTTTACCTCTTACATACCCGCCACTGACCTCTTCCATACCCGCCACCTACCTCTTCCATACCCGCCACTTACCCCTTCCATACCCGCCACTTACCTCTTCCATACTTGCCCCTTACCTCTTCCAGACCCGCCCCTTACCTCTTCCATACCCGCCACTTAATTCCTGTATATTACAAAAACCATGACGTGGATATAGAGAGTTTATCGCATCTCAACCAATCAATGTATATTAACTTCAGGAGTGGCATATTGATTCTGACCAATATATCGCTCTTAAACCATACACAAACAGTATCGTAATTTATTTGCTCTTTTGACAGGGTCGGGGTAATGATCCGACTGCAGTGAAACAGCCACGTCTATATAGGGACGGGTGTGTTTCATATATAAGCTTTAGGTCCTTGCCCTTAGTAAACACTACAGTTAACTACTGCTGTTGGGCCGTGGCTGTTAATGTGTGTTACCTGTTTCCGTGGTTATTATACTGAGCTTGTGATTTGTGTCGAGTTATCGGACTATCATCGACACCCAAATCTTATCTGTATGACGCATATCTATGAAACACGCACGCCAGCACTATCAGGGCCAATATTGAAAGCAATCAGCTGTATTTACTCAAGTTAAGCATACAGAAAATAGATTTAGGAAGGTCATGCTTCCTTTACTTGTTGCACACTTCGCACTTAACGCAAACATGAACCGTTGGGTCTATTTGGGTAACATGCCTTTACGGTAGGATTGCGAAACAGATGTGTTTCAACGCAGTCAGTTGCGATGCAGGCGTGATTCAGATGCATTAATTGTGTGATAGTCTACGCAAATTATTTTTCTGAATATTCTTTTAACAAGTCACTTTGTCGAGAGAAATGACCGGATGTAGCTCTGCTAAGGTAACTGTATAAGCCGTCCAGTCCTTGTTTTATCCCCTAAATCCCGGCAGGGAAACAGTGAGAACCATCTTTTAACGTATTTTGGTATCGAACGACTGACCTCCCTTTTCCTTTGAAGACGCTCTATCCACTAGACCAAGGAGACGAGATCCGACTATAATATGAAACAAAACTACAGTATCGCTGACATGCATAGGGAGTTAAGGCGGCCAAGAACTTCATTCTAAAGTTGACATCTCAAAACGCGAGCCACTTAATGATTGGACCATAAACTATAATGTTCGTTGAAGACAGTATCGTGTAAATGTTTATGGTAAAGGACTCAAGCTAAAACTCAAACTATTACCTCTCAATAGTAGACAGCACAACACGAACGGCCAAACAAACTTAAAATCCCAATTTGCTCAAGTCGTTGCTTTATTCCCATCTCTCTCCTAAAGTTATAATGACAGCAATACATCACACCACAAGCACCAGATTCCAATTTCGTTTATTAATCTTTATGCTAGACGAAGGCGAACAAAGTATAGAACCTTGTCGTAGTCCTATCATGAATTGATTCTCTGTATTTGCGTGAGCAATGCGCCGTAGATATCAAGCCGTTATTGTGCTTATCATATTGTCAGTGACGCAGATTCAATAGGTGGCAATTCACAGACATATTCGACGTTCTGTATATACGTTATTGGCAGGCTCAAGGGTGACCATGTGACACGTCTGTCTCTTGCTTGCAACCGTCTCCTAGAGAAAGGAATGTCGTTGTGTTAACTGCTGCCTTAAGCCTACCATAGCATTAGTGTCACGGGGTCTATGAAATATTGTCTTTTTCTCACCCGTATAAAGTCAGAGGTCCCCAAAGCTCTTGTGAGGTATATTTACAAATATGAGACATTTCATCATTTATGTTTTATTTTGTTGGTTTTTATGGTTGTTAATCTATATATGTTTGTCTTTGGCAGTGCTCACCAAGTCTTTGCAAACGTTTATTGAATGACTATAGATTAAGATGACAATGTGGTATATGCGATTAATGTTGTTCATTATCTTTGTGGAGTAGAGCAAGTATGGATCTAACGACACTTGGAGGAGATTGCCACGGAGATAGGAGCTACGAGAAGAGAATACGACGGTTACCTGGAGCATGGGTGTGAAAGGAAAATACTTACGCTCTACTGACAACTGTGATTGGTGCTTCTGGTTACCTAACGCTTTTGATGAGCGTAAGGCATGTTTACAATGCGACTCTATGGAGTGTGTCATTGTGGGCGCTACTTGGAGTAATGTACACAAGCAAATAGACATGGAAGAAACGAACATGTTGTCACGGTTGGCAGATATGTATAGATTGAAGCACAGTCAACAGCAAGGCCTAGTGCGGATCAAAAACGTTTGACGATGGCTTTGAGATTGGTCTAAAGTGGATACATATATACATTATTACATTATGATTTCATCGGATCTTTCTCAAGGGTCATTGCAGTGGAGATTGGATCTAATAGCTAATGTGTCATTGTTTCTTACTTCACACTACAAATAGAGTAAGTATATTCAATTATGAACAAAATACATTTCTTGCCATTTCTCAAAACTATGTTATGAAATGTCTCGTGAACAACCTTAATCCTACGGATAGTATTGCCGCTTAAACGTATTCCTTATTACACTTGGATCTTATTGACAATGTCTACCAACAAACCTACAGAGAAACCAATATGGAGAAGAAGGGCACCAGCTATTCCGGTGAGGGAAAATCGGAGGTCCAAATACCTCAAACTGGCTGGTATGCATGGAGATCACCTTCCGAAACTGCGGAAACAGGATAGACCCGAGATTTCCGATGAAGCTCGACACTTTGACACCATGAGCGATACAGTGATGATGAAACACGTGAATATCATGTACAAAGAGCACCAGCATGTGATGCAGAAGTTGGTCAAAGGCCAGGACGTGGTGTATAAGATGATGTGCCGCGTCCAGCAGGAGAAGAGGAAGATACAGAGAGCTGAGTGTGCGAGGAGACAGGAGGAGATAAGGGAGAAGATGAAGTCGGAGAGGGTGAGGACTCTGATGAAGAGAGCTGTTGCAAAATTTAGAGAAAATGTTCAAAGGAAGAAAAAGGAAAGAGCTCTGGCTGAAAAACGGAAGCAAGAAGAGAAAAAGGCAAAACGTGATCGAAAGCTAGCGAGGAAAGGCTCTGTTGCTGAGAGTGGTGGCAATGTGGCACCAGTTGCAACTAAATCAGATCCACGTGGACATGTGAAGGTGCAGGAGAAGGAGCAGGAAACGGCGCAGGAGACAGTGCAGGAAACGGTGCGGGATACGGAGCAGGAGTCAATGAAGACACAGAACATTCGAGAGAATCCTTCTGCGGAAAGGAGGGGTAGTCTGACTCGTGAGGAGGAGCCTTCAAAATATCAAAATGTCAATGATACCATTATTGATGATGATTTGGATCAAGTAATGGGTCCAGTTAGAAAATCGCGAGTTTTGGAAGTGAGCAAAACACCATCGGCGCCAGTAACAAGGACAAAGGGTGATGAAGACGACGAGGACAACCTTCGTGAGCCTCTAGTGACAACCACATACCCAGATCGTCAAGACAACGAAACAGGTGGAACAGAAGATAAAACAGAAGAGAATGACTCACACTCACCTAAAGGTGCTGCTGCTGATTGTGATGAAATGGAAGAAAGTGACAGAATAGACAATTATCTTTCAACAGAGACAGACAACTCTGACAGAAGGCCTTCATTGTTTGGCGAGGAAAATCATGACCCAGACCTTGGATGGTTTACATATGGTAATCCCCATGTTCCTCTCCCTTCTAATTATATTAATATAAGTGATGACGTTTTACAGGAAATCGTGCCTGATTATCTGGGATCAGATACAGATAAAGCAAGTCTGCCACCACTAAGGATAAGAAGAGCTCCATTAGCCCCACCACCGTCATCCTATCTCAAAGAACAACTACGATTGTCTGAAAGTAAAGAACATGCTACCACTGATTCAGGGGTGGTATCCTTCCAAGGAGATTCAACGGATTGGAACCTTAATTTACGCGAAATGGTTGCAACCATGTCAAGGGAAAGTAACATATCTTCTATTAAATCAATTGACTCTTGTTCCAGTCCTCGTGAGGCTGCAAGTACAGAACGTGGGCCTTCAAAGCAAAGTGATCGTTCAAACATCTCCAGGGCAACCTCCAGTGATAAGAAAGCTCATCCTTCAACAAAGTTTGATGTGGACGCTGATGAACCAGTGCCTGATAGTTTCAGTTTTGAAGTACCATTGGGTATCATCCCAGATACAAGGGCCCTTCTGCCAGTGAAACAAAGAAGGAAGAAACCACATGCGAATGCTGATAAGAATCTATCAGCAAATATGATGTGGGTTTTAAAACAAGAGGAGAAATCACGTCGTCAGTGGCAGAAACGAATGACAGAGGATGATAAAGTGATACAGTATTACAAAACTGCAGATGGGCGTTACATTGCCACTGTGATGGACAGAAGAAAAGAATTCCTTGCCCCGAGCTTTAAGGAGTATCATCGACAGCAAAAACTGCTAGTTGGCGAGAGGGTGAAGTCCGATGATCACAGAGAGAGGATGACGGATTTAATGGATTATATGGCATTACATTACGGTAAGATATTCTGCCATCTTCAATACTCACTGCTGAGATATAGAAATTAAGCTTGACACTTTCCATACATATCTTACATATGACGAATGTACTGGTTGGATTGTGTTTATGTTAAATGATTTACAGGTTCATTTAATATTTTCAAAACAACCTGAGTATACTATGCTTTGGTTGAGTCAACCTTGTCAGCACAGAGGTGCGTTGTGGTACAGGCTTTGATGTAGCTCTGTTGCCCATTATATCAAATGTTTATTGTTATGAAAATTTAGTTTTGTGAATAGCCACTTCCATACATAGTGATAACAAAACACAACCGATGTGGCATTGGGTACACAAATAACTAAATATATATATGGCCAGAACAACACCGAGCACACAACTGAGTTAGTATGGCCTCGCAGAGAGTGACACTGTCCTCAATAACCAGGGTGCATCAGGGTGCAGACACACCTCTATTCCTTGTTTGTTGTACCACATTACCGAATGACCACATGTCACTTCATTAGTGACGCCTTATGCCCAGGTTTTGTCATTCATACATTCAGAGTGATAATCCTCACGATAAATGCCTCTACGTCGTCGTTTATCGCCACATAAGAAAGGCTTCATGGCTGGCTTTGTATGTCGGAGTATGTTCGTGTGTCTCTATTGAGAGCTCGGGTATAACGCATCTGGCTTATCCCTGTTTCAGTTGTATCTGACATGTCTGCACTACAGTCTGGCATTACAGTCTCGCATACAGCATAGCCTCTCGTCAGGCCATATGACAATTACCGTATGGTTGATGTATATCGTGCTAAGCACAAGGGACACGTACACATCAAGACACGATCAACCTGGTTTGTGTTGAAAGAGACCTCAGGGTGCAATTGCGCTGTGGCGTCATCATGAGGGACGTTTGATGTCAACTTACTTCCGTACAAAATGTGTACGGACTACAAAAATATCTCGTTAGTTCGTTGTATGCAATTGTTTATTTCAAAACATTTTAGCATACATGTCTACTTTCAATTAATCAGACAGTATATCTAAAAACTGCAATTATTACATAAACAGTTATATGTCTGAAAATGAGTCCAAATGTTTGATGTCATGTTCCATGTAATAAATATGAATTGAAACCTGTGAATTATACTTTTTGCGCTCCTAAGATATTGAAATATAATGAGAAGTCAAAATGTGATTATATCATGGTTGGTCACACACACGCACGCACGCATACAAAAGAGACATGGTATTCATCTTCTACAAATTGAAGGTCACAGTCATTACATTCAGATTCTGTATGAGGCATATTTAACAATGACCTTTTACGAATGATGTTGACTCGACAATGTTGTGAACAGATATTTGAAATTTACATCATTTGTCTCTGAGTACAATTTCATATTGTTCGGGTTGCAGAAGAGATTTATATAAGCATAATGCACTTAATAAGTAGACGACTCCAAACTGTGGTACCATGTTTGGAAATAAATATCTCTTAAACGGCTTCAATTGCAGACAGAAACATGTTCTTATCACCAATATCTTGACATAACCACACATACGCAAAACCACTATGAAATAACAGTTGCCTCACAGACGATGCCCAAATGACATTACCATTCTCTTCTAATACTTTTAGCTTTACATAACTTTGGAAAGGGTATCGACTTGCATTCATTCGAAAAAGCATAATCCAGAATTTAATTGCCCTTATTTGCGTATTTATAAACATAGAATGACGTCCAATTTCACCCAGAATAGCTTTGTGTGCAGCAAATTTACCCACACCAAGAAAACGTTTAAAATAGCATGCTTGTATCTTTTCAGTTATGTCATGATATTTAAAACACCATATGTTCGTACCATACGTCAATATTGGAGCGATTTTACTGTCAAAATATTTTACAAGCAGTCGAGAAATCTATAAATCTGTTTTTGCTAAACAAATGAAAAACTGACCCCATTGTCTTGCGTGCTTGCATCGCAAGAGTTTCACATGCTTTAGATCATAATAACCGTGACAAGAACACAATTCCAAGATAGTTATAGTAAGTTATCGTTTTTATCTTCACATTATCAAGCGTCCATAATTCATACTGACATAATATCCCTCAATTTCTAAATACAATAACAAACGGTTTATCAAGATTTACACACACTCCCCATTTCGAACAATATGTATTTAAAACATCTAGCTGTCCCTGCAAGCCCCGAAATGTATACGAGAAAAGGACAATGCCATCGGCAAATAAGAGTAACATCAGGTGTTCAATATTTTGGGTTACAAAAATACCACGAACACAAGCAGCTAGCACAAGCTCAATAATAAAGAATATGAATAGGAAAGGGCTCAAAACGCAGCCTTGTCTTACCCCACCAGAGGTGTGAAAAGTTTTTCAGCAACCAACCTTTACAGATGCATCCATACTATTTAACATTTTGTACATTTTCCCATGTCATGTTTTTTTTTGTGAGAGTAAATATAGCGTTCTTTTCATGTCAACATACTCACATGCCTTTCTAAAATTAATGAATGCAACATAAAATGTGCCTTTTGGCGCACTAGATATTTTGTTCATAATGCCTGTAACTAAAGATATGATCAATGATAGAATATTGAGAACGGAAACCTGTTTGAGATTCGGAAATATCATCATTTACCTCTATCAAGATTCTAAGGCATTTTTTCTAGAATAGACATAAAAATCTTCCCTAAGATGTTCAGAAGAGAAACTGCTCCCAGTGTTTAAGGGGCACGGGGGACCAAGTCGCCCGAGCCGCGCAATTCGCTGTGCAGAGTTGGGTCCCTTAGGTGGAAACGAAACCTTCATGTATGATCCTAGGTTCGAGGTTTGTCCTGCATGGTTCCGGGCTGTCAGCACACGTCGACATATAGCTGAAATATTTTTAAAAGGGTGTTGAACCCCACTCACTCACTTACTCACTGAAATATTGTTCAAAGCGGCGTTAAACACACCGCACTCACTAAACACATATGTGCATAATTCCAAACTTATAAACAATTATCACACTATCAACGGTCAGATACAACTATGACATAATATGGAATATTTCCAGGTATGGCCAATCTTCCAGTGGCAGCACCAACCCCGTCTCCGGAACCCAAGAAACGACAACAACCCGTTGAACCTCTTCCGTCCTTCAGTTACGGGAGTGTGTTTGACGAGTACAGGCAGAGGGACCTGATGGTTGACGCGGAGCCAGGCTCATATGAAGCGATGAAAGGGGTTGCCTATTTGAGAATAAATGACGAGAAGTATAAACCAGTGAATTCTACGTCTCGGCGCCGAGAGAGAAAAGTAACGACGTGGAACCAGCAATACTGAGAACTGTTCCCCATTATTAAAGTAGCATAGTGTTGGATGAAGTGAATGCGCGCGTGCTTATGTGCATGTGTGTGTAAGTTTACCATATGACTGAAGGATTTATTATCTTATTTTATATACTTTTTAGGGGTTTTTAAGATGCTTCCTATGTTAGATTTGTCTGATTGTTTTTGTTTTATTTCATTTTTCCAAGAACAATAACAATACATTTAGAATATGTAAATGTTTTTTAATAGTACATGCATGTCTATTTATTTTTAAATGTTTGGAAACTACAAGCATATTGCATGGACATCACATGTAGGTGATTGAAATTTCTCTTGCACCGGTGATCGCCAGATGTTTCACTTGGAATATAAGGCGTTTTAATTTATTTTTTTGTTATCACGAGTGTGACATTATCTCGAACATGAGATCATTAAGTACATTTTTGTTTTCAGTTTTAGCTTATGCATTCTGCAGAAGTTCCTTAATTAATCATAAATGTGTTTCATTCAGATACATTGTGGACATCAATGCCTTTTCAACACAAGCAGCTTCTACAGTTAATGTATTAATGGGAAAAACATAACTTCATGTTCGTGCATTATTCAAAAGTTGTAACACCAATTTTACCTAGTTTTGCTGAAGAAGTTTTCCATGAACTCAAATGTATACTTACAGTGAAACACATTTCAAGTAATCTGTTAGCACAAAGGTAACAATTTGCTTCACAGATCATGAAACGCAAGAGGGGTTTGTTTTACCCTGTCATAGCTCCATATGTCTGAGAGCGACATCAAATAACCGAGGATCACCTTTGATGTGAACGGAGTATAAGGAGCGACAGTCTATTAATGAAATAAATGCCACATGTGTTACTGTTAACATAAAGCTGTAATACAGTCGCCTTTTTTTCGCATCCCCTTAAGTCAAACAGGAGAAACAAGACATGACGAAATTTATGATAAACAGGTTATATCTTCTGCAACACACTCCAGAGTTCGGTGGAAAATATCTGTTTTATCATTCACTATATTTCACGTGATGTTCAGTCACAATTGTGTAATGTATAGAGAACAGAACACCGTGATACACATCACGATGTCAATAAAATAAATTCATTGATACTATTGATTTAGCGTATGTATCACGTGTACCCGTGTTTGACATGCGTTGTTTATTGTGTCCATGAAACACATTTCGCTATACAAACCATAATAACCTGAAACATAAGAGGGTTGTATGGTTTTGTTCCACATTCATCTCTGTCGTTTAACACGATTTATATAGTGCGTTTGTCTTTGTTTGACATTAATATAAGCTGATATGCCTTGATGTAACTGAAATAAGTGTTCATTTCGACGTGAAACACAACACTCTCCCTAAATATTTACAAACCGCCCGGATACTCGATATACTATAGTCGCATATGCATTGGAACATGATACACGTACTAATTAACTTCTTCAAAATGTTCGTGATTAAAAAAAAAGAAGTACTCATGGAAATGAAAAAAAACTGTTTTGCTGGATTTAATAAACGACACAAAGCATTACGTAGATGTACATACGAAATAACAAAACAACTGGAAAAGTAATAGTCTGGATTTGCTAGTTTTATCTCAGTGCTCAATACAAAATGTACTTTACAGGAGGTAATTTGTAGGCACTTTCAACATTCAAAAATAAAACTAAGTCCAAATTGACATGGCAGAAACAGGCTATAGGCATTATGCAAATTAGCCTGGAAAAAAGTTATCAAAACAACAATAAAAATAACAGCTATGTTTATGTACATAATAATAATGACATGTAAATTGTTGTTTGAGAAGGGAATATGTTACTTTTACGTTCTGATATTTTGACGATGATTCACTATCCCACAATGCCACTCACAAATCACGAATCACTAACCACTGACAAATCACATGCACGTGGGTTTCAAGCACCTGTTTTCCCCTGTCGTCAAGGTGTCATAGGTCATGGACATTCACCTTGATCTACTAACACCTGGTTATGCTCAGTTTCACAATAGTCTGTTTTGTTCATATTTTTACACACTTTTACGTGTAAAAAGACATAAAAACCTTTGATACGCTGTATTTGTGCTAAGGCCCAATAAGTACTAATTGAGTTGTTTGAATATTTATATATTTTGTATATTTACTGCATTTATTTAAAATCTGAGATCGAAAAAACAGTTGTTTTTTCATTTCCGTGAGTACTTTTTTAGTGAGACCTGCTTCACAAAATGATTTACCAGCTATTTTACGTACGCTTCTTCTGAATTTGTCGACGACAGTGTTCAGTCGTTCAGTGGCAATGGTACGAGCTTTTTCTGAAGGACGCATTAGCAGCTTGACAGTTAATCGCAGGGGGAAGGCGAGACAAAAGCGACCGCAAACATGAACTTGGTCTTTTCGTCATGTCTTGTATTACTGTAAGGAAAAAAGGAAGTGCCTACAATTTACAGCTGGTGTGGCCTTGTTTGAAGCATTTCAGGTACCAGTTTTCTTTACCTTAATATTTTAAGATAAATTGCAACAATAAAAGATAATAGAAATCGGCGGGCCTTATGTTGCAATGTCACTCACTGATTGGCCACCGACCAACGTCTCAAAACATGCGAATATGTAGGCGATCACTCTACAACCCACGACTCGTACATGCCGTTGTTAGCATGTGGCCGAGAGACAGTATTAGCTTCAGATTTGACAATTCTGTCGCACAATGACCAACATTTCTGTCCTTACTTATGAATGTTTAAACTGTCTTAACTTAGATACTTTCCTTAAAGTAAATCACTCACTCATTCACTCACTCATCATTTATCGTGCTCACTCACTCATCAATCCACTATATTGCTCACTCACCCACCTACCCACTCTTAGGCAATGCTCGTCATGAATTTTAAATAGTGACTGATACGACAGTAGGTCTGTCGTCACAATAATTAGGTACTTAGGTTACATGGATTGTCACTATTAAGTTTATCCCCTACCTTTTCGTTACCCTGAAGATCTGGGTTAGAATAGGTGAATATGCTTGTCGTAAGAGGCGACTAACGGGATCGGGTGGTCAGGCTCGCTTACTTGGTTTATGCATGTCATCGTATCCCAAATGCGTAGATCAATCATCATGATATCAATCACTGGGTTGTCTTGTCCAGACTCGATTATTTACAGACCGCCGTCATATAGCTGAAATATTGCTGAGTGCGGCGTTAAACAAAAGCAAACAAACAAACCTTTTCGTAAACAGGTTTTACTGTGTCCTGCAAAGATATACATTTTTAACATGTTTTGATTCCAAAACATGAATGTTCAGCACAACATTTTAAGTACAATTCTAAGCAGGATTTATTTATAACCCTTTATGACATGAATATACTTTGGCCCCGAAGTGCGTGGGGATTTTGGATAGTGTTAGTACCAGTATGTTGTAAAAGCCTGTTCCTCGTCAAGAGCTTAGATCACATGTTTCGATAAAATGTGGAAAACCTTCAGTTGTTTCAGTGGGATTTAAAATACAAAATTACAAAACTCAATGAACACGTTTATAGCTTAACTTGCTGAGCATGTAGTTAATACGTAAACACATATTTACAGTGCATATTCACATTCATCGAACCGCGTTTGTGTCGACAAGGTCAAGCATTAAAGGGAGGCAACTTGTACAGTCTTGGACAAATATGAACACTCCTATTCATTTGAGAAATGGTCACACAAACAGAACACGTGTATTAATGATGAATTAATATAGTGTTCAAACAATCAAGTACAATGATTATTTCTAAACTAAATATATCGTGTTAAATACAGTGGGAACCAGTCGTGTCCGATAGTGTGGGAGATGATAAATACATAGTGTTAATTCTCATGCATAGAGTAAACAGGTATTTGTAAATCATAACAGGTAATGTAATTCACGCCAGTGTGTTGCTATGTCAATTACCCTATTTAAATGTAAATAATAGTTAGCCTAAAGGAACGTACAGCCTACATGCATGCATACGAGTGTCGACAATAAGAATACGGCGCGTACACACGTTATACAGAATGCATTCAACTTGTTATTTCACAACAAATATGGACCATCGGAAGGAACAACTGTTTCAGGATCAGGACCGTGTTCCGCTTCTTCCTCCTCTTCTTCCACGTTCTCTTCACCCACTTCCTCTTGTGTCTCTTTCTGTTGTTTCAGTTCTTCAAAGTTTAAATCCAGCAACGGCATTGTGAGACTCTTTACCTTTGTGTTACCTATAAATTTATAATTTTCAAGATCCGGCGTCCCGGCCATTGGAGGTGGATCATCTTTAGTCGTCTGTTCCACGTTTACCTGCATCTTGTGGGCATAATAGTCAAAGGATCTGTCAAGATAGGTGTTTTCATAAGCTTGCGTTGAATCACAGAACTCTTTCACTTTAGGGTCATGATCGACAGATCTTGCTTCGTCGAGAAATATTTCCTGCAGATTTGTCTTTTTTACCTCCTCAAACATAGAACCCCTTCTTGACTTCCTGGAGGATCTTCCTTCGCTGGTTGTTAGACTTTCACGTCGGGAACTTCCGGTAGATTCCGGAAAGGTACTGTAAACTGTTCGGGGTATGTTCTGAGCAAAACTTACTCTAGATTGTCGCCTTCCTGCGATTTTTGAAGCAAATTCCAGCTCAGGATTTTCACTTGTGTTATTTTTGTTTTGAATAGTTATGTTTGCCACAAATGTATTAATCTTTTCTTCCACTGTTTGACCTTTGACATCGGGTAAAATTAGAAACTCCTTTTCTACTTGCGTTCCTGCGGCAGTAGCCGGTCTAAGGGGAAGTAATGAAGGGGGAGTCCGCATCTTACCACTGTGGGGACGGGGGTTATCTCCCCCTACCGGAACACACCTTCCCGATGCCGATTGGCTTCTTATTTGTTGCGAAGACTGCTCCTTCATGACCTGCTGGATTAGTTCCTCGATGTCCCTGTCAGAGGTGGCTTTCTTGGACTGCTGGCGCGACCTTGGGATTCTTGTTTCATCCACAGAACAAGGTCGATACTCCAGCTTCTTCAAAAACTCGTAGTCACCCTCACTTTGACCACAGTTTGTGTTGAGTCCATGTAGATGTAATGCTCTTAGCTCCCGTACACGGTCTTTATCTCCCATCATCTGAGCATACCCGAGTTTGGATCTGTGCAGCTTCATTTGGAACCTTCTGAACATGACCTTCTGATCAATAGCGATTCTATGCACTAAGCCCTTCTCCGATCTATTCAGAATGTGCAGCCTCTTCTGAAGGAGCATGTGTTCCTTCCAATTCGCCGACTGGACATTTGGAGACCGCTCGGCATTTTCCGGCGCCCTATTAGAGGCATCTTGTGGAGGCGAGTTACCTTTTATCATGATTGCGTGTTTGTTTCAGCTTCTGTCTGAGCTCGAAGAACCGTCGTGAACCGTACCTTGACTTGAATGATATTCTACGCTGACGCCCACCTAAACGTGGAAAAGTAAGGAAAGATCCTTCTTGTCAAGTTTCATCTTGGTGTTTACGGCTATTCCTAAAAGGGTTCCTTGAAGTTTTAATATACGGTTGCATGCCGTGCCTGTGAACAAGAAGACATCTATGTGTAAATATGTAAATATGGCTACATCATTGTGACATTGTTCATTGTTACACCATCCCTCTTTTAGGGCCTGTCGCTGTCTCCTGTTAACAGGTCTTGGTTTTGTCAATGAAATTGCTATGATACGCCATTGATCAGACGAATGACAAAATATTATATTCTTATACAACAAAGTATCGGTCAATACGTTGTTTCGGGTCATACTATTTCTGTAATCAGTGTAACTATTGTTTGTGATGACCGTCACCTATTACTTCGTCATTTTGCCATTGGATTGAAATATGAAACTAGATCAGTATACAGAAAGCCCGTTTACCCGGCTAGATTCGTTCCCAATTAATTAAAACATTTCGACATTAACGAATCTTAGACATAGATTAATATCTTCACAGCTAGTGCCTGGGATGCAGGGTGTTCAGACAAATGAGTTTCGCTGTATTCTATTTTGTTTACATCAAATGAACATGTTACATGAAACATTTGGCTTATGTAATATTACATGTCGCAAATGATTATATAAATTGCCCTTTTGCAGATCTAATGCTGCTGATTGTCAAAACCCACTCGTTTTGAATCCGTGTGTCATGGCATCCGTGATACGTGATATAAGAACTGTCAGTGATAGCAACTATCAACATACCTTCAGTAACTAAGCCGATTTGATATTGATCATGATATCATGTTTCGACTGGATACAGTGTTTTATCAGCTCACATCGTGTGGAATTCACGTTAACTTAATAAAAATGACCTTTTCCCGAAAAAGTTCCAAAATTAATGAATAGCACGGGTATGAATCGATTGGGCTTAACAACATCGGTTCGCTTTGTCACAGCTTCTATGATAAAGTGATTTGCTAAGAAAATACTCAGTTGAATCTAAGAGAAAATGTCAGTTTTAGACAATATATTTTCTCTCACGATGTTTCTGATATTATTCGCCCCTTGATATCTGTATTATTGTTATGTCACCCGTGAAATACAAAGGAAAACCTTCATGCTTTGTCTTTATCAGGATGAAAATGTAAAACTTTGACATGGTTTCAAACTTAAGTGGGTGTCGGTTTGGAGGGAGTCGTCTTTCTTATCCTATTGATATTATCTTACAAAAACGTATAGGAAAGATAAGGTCTGATTCATTAAGGAGATTTACAGAAAACTTTACTCTGTGACTTTGTCAGGCATTGTCCGTCGAGCGATACTTAGTACACCGTTACCAACGGGGTGTTTCCCGTGATATCACGATAACCACCTTCATCAACCACAGATGTGTCATTTATTGTTGCCGATAGGGAAATTAACTCCTTACATTGGTATTACATTTATAACTACCGTATCTTTCTGCCTGAATGGCTTTACCTGTAATCTATACTCCAGTTCTCGAGGATAGACATTAAACTATCTACACTGTCCAATGACAATCAGTATGTAATAACACATGAGTAATCCAAGCAAGGTCTCTTGTGGACACTATTTTGATATATTTTACTATACAATAAAGATCTCTATCGAATAGGACATGAAATATTCATTCTCTATTTGGGGACCGATAACGGAACGAGGTAGTAAGGTTTGTCTGATGTTATAGGATTGCAATTTCACAAGTAATTCCGAGTATCAGCTGATCAGCATGCACAGAAGGTCACATTCTCGATTTAACATATTTATCATCTTTTCTCCCAGGGAAACAATGTTTTACAAAATGATAGGCATGTGGTCTGTACTCACCCGGTTAAAAATATTATTCACATTTTTTTTCAACCCCTGTCCGCTGAGCAAGGGCTATAACTTGTGATTACTATACCACAACACCATGGAGCGCCCCACAACTAAACAAACATATACTTGTATTAGACTAGTACTTCTTAAAAACATATCAGTTCATTGTGACTTTCAAAGTGGTGTTTGGAAAGAAAATGGCGTCTTTGTTGTGGAATCGTGTACATAATTAAGTTTCACAACGGAGTTCTCGGGTATTCTGCAACGGGTACCATACGGCGTAATGGCGTGTACATCTGTGTTAAACGTGACGTAAATAATGACAAAACGAGACGTGTGTTTGTGATGTATTTGCTCAAACCAATATTAACACGACGCTATTTACATAGTAATTTAAGGTGAGACACGTTGGCCGGTAGAAGCTCAAATAAATTAACACTGGTGTGTTTTTTATATGTTTTTCTAATACTGTAATTGTATTTGTGTAAAATACGTATGAAAGAACTCATATTAAACTGGTAAATGTCAAATGATTATGAATTAAATACGGTGACTTGTAATATAGATAGAGTATAAGTAATTGAACATGAATCTTGATGATGCGTGTAGAAATACCACATACCTGTTCTTTGAGCCAACAGAAGCTGACACTCAGATGTGACATGTTCCGACTGACCTAACAGCGTTGATACAACAAACCATAGTGCTATGAAACGAGAATGATAAATCATTCATTGAAATTAATATGCAATTAATATTTAACCCGTCTTAAGCTAAATAATGACAATGAATGGAATTTTTCAAAATTCAAACAATAAATTATGTATTTCGGTGTCGATCTTCAAACGTTACGTAGAAACATCGTTGTGTTAACATTTCTAGTTGTGAATTACTTGTTCTGCTGCGTTTGATACGTGATCATAAAGGGTTAATGTGATTCAGGAAACGATATGTCTGACATTTCCCCGTCCATTCATATCAGCGTCAGACAAAAGGCAGTGTAACATTTTGGCCCAACAAACATTGGCGCCTTTATTCACGTAAAACATTGATAAGATATCTCTACTACTTTGCTATTAATTCTGGGAAACACTGGTACATAATCTGATATCATGTTAAACCCCAACATACCTTTGCGTAAAACTCTGGACGCCAGTAATTGGCTATGAACATAATGTGTGATGCCACTTGTAATGCGAATTTTCGAAAATCCAGAAAATTAAATTTAGTTTTTGAAACAAAAGTAAGAATTATTTTTCGTTGTTTTCCTTTTAATAAAATTTGAACATCAAATATTTTTCAACAAACGGTTCTTCCCTTAATTGTAAGCACAATACACGTTGTGAGTGACTGAGTTTTTAAATTGTATTATGACGCGTCTGCTTAATGCGAAATGAAAGCCCGAAATCACGTATGTCTTTAATGTGTCAGTTTTGGTGTATGGTACTGAGAAACCAACCTCTAAATCCACCCCGGAATCATAGGGTCCTGACACGCCTTGAGTAGGCGACACTGCACAGCTAATTGCGGCATCTTAAACGATTTGGCCTTCATACACATAGTACCGGACTGTTACACAGCATTACAAAAAAGCTTCAAAGAATAAATCCATTTTGGTTTGTTTGCAAAGAACTGAATAATGTATTTCGTTCCATTCATAAAATCAACACCAAATCAACCATAATTAGGGATGCGGTAATTCCGGCGTGACCGGATTGTGTTCAATTTACATTAGCTGGCATATAATTATAACGTTTCTGATGAAAATGTTTTGAACCGAACTAAAACATACAACTAAAGAACATGATCTTTCAAAAATATTTTATTGCACTCACTGTGACGAATGCCAATATTTATGTACATATAAACATAAAGATGTAACCACAAAGGTCAATTACCACATGCAGTATATGTATAACGCCATGTTGCGCACACATCCTTCAGGCTGAACACATGTAAATGAGGTAAAGTGGAATGTGGGCGGAGAATGCAAACTGTATATCAATACATATGACATCATATTGCTGCTCTCCTCGCTGACATCACATCTGTTCGAGGAATATTCCGCAATTGCTCCAATAACTAGATTTGAGTTTCTTCTTAGTTAAATCTGTTACAATTTTTCGGAATCCGTAAGACACTATGCCGTGTTATCCTCACGGTAACAGTAGTTTTTAACTAAACAACACATAGCACTATTTATCTCCTATTTCAACCCGTCTGTATCGCCAATATTTGTAACGTGGATCCTGTTCAGCAGTAATCCTGTTTCCTTCTCGATAGAATAAATCAATGAAACGTTTAAATGCATATTTCGTATCACTCACACATGCAAACACTCTTTATATACAAGTTTCAGTGTCACATATTGACTTATCACATTGCACGCTGGTTCATTGGTATCTCGGGCGTCCGCGCGAACACAGAGTTAAAGGACGGAAGTTTCACTGGCGCCAATGACAACGCCAACGGCAACACTATCCTTTTCTTATTGCATAGTAACGAAGTTCTGTCACATTTTCACATATCACATTGTTTTCATATCCATGTCACATAAGTAGTCCTTTGAAATGTCACACCTGTTCTGTTTTCCTGCATGTCTTCTGGGTTTTCTGTATCGTTATGCCTGGGTGCAGACGCTGATGCTAATGTACAGAACATATCGGCTGTATCGTGTTCATTTATTTCTATTTGTTCATAGTCTGGAGGACTACAGTCTTTACGTGGGTCGTCTTCCATATACGGAGGCAGTTGCACGCCATATGGAGGACTATAGGTGTCCAAATCCGAAGCTGAGAAATACCGACGCATTCTCCGAGACTGAAACAGTAAATGAACAATTAGTATTTCAAGACATATTCATAATCTGCTGTAGCATTTGCCACATTCATCAAATTAAGTGAATCGTCGTGCGCGTCTCATTGCACAATACCATTTCATAAAGAGTGAGTGAGTATGGTTTTACGCCGCTTTTAGCAATATTCCAGCAATATCACGGCGGGGGACACCAGAAATGGGCTTTACACATTGTACCCATGTTGGGATTCGAACCCGGGTCTTCGGCGTGACGAGCGAACGCTTTAACCACTGGGCTACCCGACCGCCCCCATTTCATAAAGAACAGAGCTTGATATGTTAATACTAGACGCGGTCCTCTTAAAAGCGATCGAAGAATTACGATTTGGTCTTTGTTGCTGTATCGGATTACGATAGTTGTAGCACTGAGGTTGCAGTGTGCGAGTGGGTGCCAGGATAAACATAACATATCCATCCATCGACTACAATATTGCCAATAATCGAAATAGCTTTATCGCTGATCTTTTACAATTATTACTTAACACTAATATCCATGTTTCCATACTAAATTAAATATGAGTTCTTACCCGTGGTTTGTACAAAAAGTCATACGTTCCTCTCCCTTCGGAGAGTTCCTGGTATTGGGACACTATACAAGCAAAACAGTAACACTGGAAGAAATGAAAAACAAACAGATTAGCTATGACAAAGGTTAACAAGTATCTGCATTTAAATTACAATATCATCTCATAATGTGGTCTTACATAATTGCACGGGGGCAGTGGGGAAGCCTTGAGGTTAAAGCATCCCATTGTTAAACCGAATTTGGTTGCCCACGTTGGTACAATCTGTGACATAGATAGATAGATAGATAGATAGATAGATAGATAGATAGATAGATAGATAGATAGATAGATAGATAGATAGATAGATAGATAGATAGATAGATAGATAGATAGATAGTAATTTTTAAACTGCGTTCGTCTGTAAATGTGTAATACTTACATTTGCAACCAAGCGGAAGCAGTAAAAACATAGAGAGATGATTTCCCACGTTTGCAGAGTCTACAAAAGAATAACAATTCCTGTGTTATGATTCACATCAAAGGACACAAAGTCATTAAAGTGTGCAGAATATCAGCACATCATATGTTTCAAAGACATACAAAAATCCTGAGCTTTACAAGATTTAACACAATATAGTGATCCATCACATGAGAGCCATTATAAATGTCGAACTACTTTGTGTTAGATGCAGTGAATACTTACACAAACGACCCGCCCTGTAGCAACATTTGCCCGTACCTAATATCATGTATGGTACACGTGTGACTTAAGTCATGACAACAAAGTCAGTTTAATGGTTTATAACATTGTGTCCATAAATAGAGTGCATGATGTTGACTTTGAAGTGTGTATCCAGCTCACCTTTTCATTCTCTAAGTGTACTGTTGTCAGGAGGGCAATGGCTCCCGTCTCATACAACACCGTTACTACCAACACGTATATCCATGGTAACAACAGGTACTTTTTGTCCTGAAAATAAACATATAGGCAATCAGTATGGCGGCTTATATCAATCGTCAATGACGTTGTCGTTTAAAAGGTTTCAATTCGACAAAAATATGAAAGATGTTCATGACTTACATCATACCTTTCAGAGACATAAACAAGCAAATATTGAACACGCCACTGCGGATAAGTGACATAGTCAATAATTGGAAATACACCTTGTGTCATAACGAAGGGTGCCGGTAATACAGTAAGGGATTCATTTCAGCTACAGAATCAATCGCGTCCAATAACCCAACCAGATAGATTATTTCTGGTAGTGAAGGGTAAACATACGTGGAGACAGACGTGTCTATTATGTTGTTCTTTTGAATGTGGGCATGACTGTCTTTCCTTATATACAATAAACTAGTACATGACGGTATCTGCTACAATTAAACAGATTATTTTTATTAAATCGTCCGACCCCAGAATTGCTCCCCCTTACAGTTATCCTTATTTGGTTTGCTACGTTTGCGTTCCAATCTGAATTGTTACTGTATTCCATGTAGTAGGAGCACTTCATAATAACACGAGAAGCAAGAAATGTGTTTATGTGGCATTATAGGAAATATTTAAATAGAGGGTATATCCTTTGCTGCAAGGACATGAGACAAGTTACAAGAATTCCTGTTTTAATCTGTAAATTTATTTTCTAGTCCCAAAGTGGAGAACGGATATGTTTAAATACCACCCCCACCCCCTAAAAAATCATGTTCAATGTGTGTACATGCATATATTCAATGGTCACTCTGTCGGGTTCTATTTGAAACTATCGGTATTTCTTATCTACTGAAAGATTCCCCATATGGGTACAATGTGTGGAACCCATGTCTGGTGTTCCCCTCCGTGATATTGCTGGAATATTGCTAAAAGCGGCGTAAAACAACACTCACTCACTCACTCACTTTCTACTGAAAATACATGGGCTGCTTAGGGCATGTTTCTAATGGTGAACTCGGTTACCGTTTCGCCTGGCACACGAGTACCCCGAACATTAGCCTTCAGTGCCGATCAAATCTTAAAACCATCTACCCATTACCACCGTCCAAATATTACATTACTATGTAATTCGTGTCTGTTGCACATAAGTTGAGCACGGATATTATTTTTTAGAGCGTGTTTTATACAAGAAAACAACTTTAATCATTCATTCACGTGCCTTGGTGTCATGTGTTCCTTACATTTGAAGTTTGTGTGTGTTCCGGAAAACCAATATATCTACGTGTAAGATAAACTAAAACGATAACTTTATCCGAAGTATTGATATTTGCCTGACAACTCTCATTTTTCAATTTCTCACAATATTTCCTGCACAAATACAGTATCTCCTTACAGAGGTATTGTTCAGGTGCGGAGGCCTTGTTCATGAAAATATGTGGGGATGTTTTGTTTTGTATCGCACACGTGTATGGAAAAGCAAGGACAAAGGGTAACAACCCAGTCTGACCCACAACAGTGTTTGAACTCTCACACGAAGCCTTCCTCACCTGCTTTGCTTTTCTATACGCTTATCGGTTTATCGGTAATCCCCTTGCGTTTCGTGGAATTTGAGAACTCTTGGCTACTATAACCGGGTGCAAGAGTTGTGTGTTGGTATTTCTTTACGACAGAAAGTTAAATATTGTCTGATGTGATTATGACGTGAAGTGTACCTTTAAGCGGGTAAAAGTGACGTACCATGTCGGCTGGCAGGTGCAACTGAGGTGTAAGAACGCAGTCTGTACTACGCTAATGGGGCGACCGGGCACTCTGACATTAGCTAAAGGCCATTATTGCCAGCTAAATCTTAAGGTCAAACATTTGTCTCATTGCCTTCGCTCTGTTTCGATACATATACTGTACTAACGATAGGTCAGTGGGTACGTTAACTAATTTTTGAAATTGATACCTTGAGTGATCAATCGACAAGTTTACTCTACAGCATTGAGTACTAGTATAACCAGTGTTCTACTCAAGACTACACGTGTAAAAATGTCTCAATAGGCAACTTACAGAAACTTTACAGCAACTTAAATGTTTATCCACCCCAGATTAGAATGACTTCATGATGGTTGACCAGCATGAGAAATAGCTCTTACTGCTTTATCAAGAAATACTACTCCATAGACATTTGGGATATTACTAAAATGAGACCGGCGATCTTTTCTACTAGCACACAATGCGGGACGTCGGTGACTATACAGACTAAGAACTCTTTTATTACACAATATCTCCTCTAAAAACCGTTTCCCTGATGGCGCAGGACTATTGACTATCAAGCAGAAATTTTAAAATGTGATTAAAAGCTAGAGGGCTACTGAGTGACAAGGTCACCTGAAATAATACGTACTCTTCATAATGGACATATACGGGACTCGGATATTTGTCAGGGGCCTGCCAAGAAGAAGATGCGAACAGACAAGGCGTAAGATCACATTGCTCTATCTTGTCATAACCTAGGGCCATAATTTACCTCATTTCTCAAAACTGACTTCAGCAATGACGCTTCATTGCTTATCTTCCTGTCGAATCTCCACGAATAGATTAGTATCAACACACCAAATAGTCCCCTTTTGTAAGTCGTGGCTCAATGAAGACCGGTCAAGCTGGGGGCTCTTTGTTTACAAACGGGTTAAGGTTTCTGCTATAAGCTGCTTATTCTTGAAAGTTTCAACTAATTAGTTACCGGTCATATGAGGTCGGTAAATAAGCCTTTGGTGGTCTAAGCCAAGCTTGATGGAAAGATAACTGAATAAACCGACGGAAATGTGTAAAGCATGCGGTGATCTTTTGACCAAAGTTGTATAGGTATAACGTTATCTGTTAAGAATTGTTCCACATACAATAAGAACTTGTATTGTGGATGATCGTTTATACAGATTATATTTCAAAAGTATTCGAACAAATCAGTTATGAATGAAGTAGTTGTAGTTGACTGGAAGTGGATTCATAAAACAACAATAGATTAGGCTGCAAACAACATTGAATATGTTTGAAGTGTATAAGTTTTGTTTTGCTATTCGTTCGTCCAATTCATCAAAAGTTGTACGTCATGAAAATATAAGTGTACAACTTTAAAACAAAGACAGGTTTTCATTCCTAATGATACTGTTTAATGCACATTGTATTTTAGTGAACAACTGAAAATGGTGATTATATAAATGTAGACCGTCATTCGGTGGTCTTTAACCAGACAAAACATGTGTTCGTGGCTGTGTTATCTTACCATATACACCCCTGGTAGCAGGACCAGGGAGACTGCTATCATCAGGGAATATAGGACGAATCCAGCATACACAATGCCTCGAAATTCTGAAATAAAACATGTATGTCATGTTAAATGCTGGGAACAGTTAAGAGCTGTAGTTCACACAATTCATCGTTTGTTAATACACCACCATGAGACAAAGTGCACTAAAGTAACACGCATTCCTCGCATCGTCCCTGTACATGGAGGTCTTACAGCGATAATAACACCGTGGTTTTCATTTAATATACAATCACTCGCCTGTAAGTACACTGAGTACCAGTATCATAAACATATGTTTTTCTCTTATTAAGTGGGCATCTAAAATACATTCCCCAGTAAACTATGATTAATGGGTTACTTGCAGTACAGAAGGACAACAAATGCGTTTAAACGTCAGAGGTCTCTGTTTAAACCAGGTACAGAAATTACAGGTGTTGTGTTTCATGTCGATATATACAGAGATAACAAACACTCTGCTCTTTGTAATAATACGGGAATGTATGAATCACCGACTGCCGTAAATTGCTCCGGACTGTCTGAGTAATGTCCATGTTTCAGATTCTGATTTCTGAGACACTGCAAATACATCGTTAATAATTGCGTACAGATAATCTACAATCGACGACCATTCTTCCATATTGATCAGTACTACATCGCATCTCATATGCATAATGCATAAAACTATGAAGCTGTGTAACTTTCTTGCTGCAATATCGTGAAAGAAAACACTCCGTACATGTGTCTGTCTGTCGTAGGATAGTCGGCTTTAGATTAAACCAGGGCAATGTCGTCCAATTCTTTAGATAAAATATATATTTCTTTGATGTTTATCAAAGTGAATTTCACAGACCAACTTTGCGGCAATACACCATTTATGTGCATATTAAAGTGACAGCCTGTGTTGATGCACGGACATGCTATGGCAATGTGGAAAGTGGTAGGATAACAGAACAACAGGCACAACATGCACAAGTGCCGAATGACAAGGACATGTAAGGTAGCCCTCAACCCATGACAGATGATATCCTAACGGATAATAGTAATGCACATCCTCTGCCTTAGAATGCTAAGCATACTACATCAGTGTATAATCTCCTTGATCCAAATATCAAATAACATTAATAAACTTTGCCCGTGAGTGACAAAGTTGTCTTTCTGTCATTCATTAGTGTGGTTTTGATGTAAGAAATAGTCAATATGTTGGAAACAATCCAAAGGTGACCCCAATACCAGATACAAATCTACTTTTCACACCTGCTTAATACATGCTTGTAGTGGCGCCGTCATAAAAATATATGATGAAAGAAAGAGAGATACGAGTCGTCTTTGTCCTATGCACATAACAGATATTGTCAGCGCCCGAGGGCACAATCGAGATCTTTCCAGTCTTCCTGCGGCCTGTTTTGCTATGTTTTACGTAGTGGTTGACGACACGCAAGTGTGTACCCCTTGTCCTTCTTACTTCACATAATAAAATCTCAATACTGGGAAACTAAATATGATAGTCTTATATATTATAAAATACAGCCATATTCTCCAACGAAGAGTGTCAAACCTTTCATCACCTGTACGTTGAGCTAGGTTTCATTACCTCCATGAGCTAGATTGTTAATTTGACTAATCACAAACTAAATCTCCAAATCGTTTTTCGTTTGAATGACTAAAACCTGACTCTTTGAGCTGTAAAGAAGGCCTTTACTGACCGGATTGCATTAACAGGGAGGTGGGGCTTAGTTTATTGAGGTATGTTACGTGATTTCACAAAAAATCACCCTCCTATCAAAAACGATAAATATGCGCTTTCAATTGGGGTGGCCATGCCCATGGTCAGAGGGTAATGCGTCGATATCAAACTAACGTAAAATATCAATATTTGTCATCGACACGGCACTATAGACCATTGATACTTTCGATAGAAAAACTCAACAGAAAACAATTGAAATTCAACTCATTTTGTTATACTTCACTTCACTGTTTGTATTCAGCAAAGACACGTTCATACCATATTATCAGATATTAATCCTTGATCATAAATCACTCCCCGGGCAAGCTGCTGAATCACGAAACCTGCATACCTCTTAAAAATGCTTTTTCGCCACATTGGGAAGGGGAAATATTCATGATACTATTGCAATAATAGCGTTTAAACTATCGCAATACTCACCCCAGTAAGCTCTGCTTTCTACCTAATTATAATATATATAACACTACGACAAACTGGCAAGCATAGCTCCCCATAGTATATATTATAGTATTAAACATGTTCACATGATCTACCTTTAGCAGAAAACAACCACTTTGAATGCTACGAGTATATTAACTGTTGCTGAAATTAAGCGCTTGCTGTGTGGGCCTATTCAATAAGTATCGAATGCGAAAGCTAAAATAAGGATACTAGAGAGATCATACTTACCCATGGAAGCACTAATTGCATCAAGGCCGATGTATCGGAATAAGTAAAAGGCCAAACACATCACAGATATTACCTGAAAATGAAAAAAACAATATTTGCAATTTTATCACTAATTATCTCAACAGACACGCGCGTGCGCGCGCGCGCGCACACACACACACACACACACACACACACACACACACACACACACACACACACACACACACACATATCCATAAAAGTGGGTAAAAGGTAATATTACAGTTGTTGCCTTTCCTTGCTTGTCTTAACGCGCAAACACCAAGTTCTGTTTATGAACACGTTGTTTGTTTTCAAATTCATAATTATTTTAACGCCATGTAATCAACTGTATCAACGCTAGATCCCATGTCACACTAGTCAACATGAAAATACATGGGCATTGCTGTTCAGCTGAGTGCGGTATAAAACAATGTATCGATTCAATTTTAATGTTGCCCATAACCACAAATTGAATGAAGAACAACTCTGGAATGAAGTAATCATTGATAAAAGCATATCTGGGAATCAACACTGAACCTTCGCCTTCACCCGAGCATGACACTTAAATATTAATATCCCGGTGTGGTTATCAGGCGGAAATCTAGGGTAGATAAAGGTAATGTAGTGATAGATGCAACATGCAGTAGTGAGAACTTGTGTGTCGCTGAGGAAGGCTCAATATATATATCATGTTTATGACAACAGGCAATCACCTTTTACGAGATCAAATCATTCAAGTTCATAGAACAGCCTTCAGCAAGAATATTTGAAATAGAAATTTGATTTTGACAGCTTGTCTTTCTACAGTTGTGTTTATTGTGGGTTTATATCATTGTCGGTTATTCGTCGCTTCAATGGCTTCATGGCTTCAATATATATTGATACTTTAAAGACTGTTACAGAGTCTAATTACGTTATAAGCTTCTTATTTTTCACACTGGCTGTAGTTTCTGCGCGGATTAATACAGTTTGCGCATCAGTTTTTTTCGATATCATACCTCAATGAACACAATAAAAGTACAAAATCAACACTTAAGTGTCTTCGGAACTGTTCAAAATGTGCAGTTAGTTAACCTCAAGTTAATCACATTAAGAGCAAAGATTGCCTCACAAATACCTCAACATAAACTGGGTGTAGGTTTCCAACCGTGCCCATTTATTTTTCATCACTTAAACAGATTACCAAGTCAAGCGAACTTATCCCGCTTAACTGCCGGTACTGACCACTGCCTTTGACACCCGATCTCACATCAAGGTGTGGAGAAATAACTCACCTGTAATTAATGGGCAGGTATGTTATGTATACCTATGGCGTTCCCAAACTGTTCAATGCACGAGAACACTTCTAGGGGCTATTTCAAACATTTTGTTCAAATGTCTGTTTACCTGTGGTTACTCTAGGTGGCGAGTCATTATTTTCATCACGGATTAATTATTTATTCTTCAACACAAAGTCTCAAAAGAACCATCTCAATGAATGAATTCCGGGTATGTGGTGATTGAAATGTTAGTTTACATACTCACCAAAGATTACTGGAACAAAAGTATTTTGGGGTATATCGAAAGCATTTTGTTTTCTTACATGTACATCGTAAATATTAAGAAACACCCTTGAGAGAATTATGAATAGCACAGTGTAACATAACCCATTACTGTCCTCTGAAAATGGTGTAGTGACTGTAATAGGGATGAATACCCACTGAAGTAATAACCGCCTGGTTGCGACCCTCGTGACAAGAAGTCAACATGTGTCTTGCGGCGTATTTACATATGACGTGCGTCCCCTGAGAGTTAACAATTGACCCTGATGTACCTGTGTGTGTAGAATGAGAGATACTGGATATGATGTTTCATCTGGAATACCTGGGAGAGTCAGTGATTGTACGTGGGTGATGGGAAGGTTGATATGTATCATATATTGTTAACAATAGAGGGATCAGAATGCCGGCAGTACAGAGTGGGAAAGGGGTGGGGGTTAGGAACCGGGTTTGATTGTTTGTCTCGATATGTGTGGCGAAATGAACACCGTCAGTCAAAGTCAGAGAATAGATGTTATCAATGTCTTACCAATAACTACCTTCTGCATCATCAGTAGTCATAACGGATGGCTCATCAAAGTCTCAGTGAACGTGTCAAGTCACGCAATGGACTGTTTGATGTCCATGTCACCTTATTTATATTGTTATTTTAGTACAAGCAGCAAAGCAATGATAGCTTTGGTGGTTTCGATATATCATTTCCAGCCATACACAAACGTGCGTGACCCCTATTACAACCGATAGACAATGCTACTTTGCAAGTTTCTATATGAAAGAATCGACTTTACAAATTAACGCTCACTGGTCGTGGAATTTAGTTGAGGTGAATCTGTGGCTGAAGTGATGACGTAAATCTGCTGGGTTACCGTGCAGGAAGCTAAGGCACAGTAATTTCACATGATCCCCAGCGAGTTGGCCTAGATTTGGTTACCGGTGGCCTAGAGCCCGTGTTTTAAACAGTTGTAGATAATGTTGTTATCTCCAAATATGTTTGGTAAATTTGTTTTTAAATATAACTTTCTATTCGTGACTCAACTGTGTATATATACGTTAAATGTTAACTCACTCACTGACTTAGGTGGGGGCACGGGTGGCCCAGTCGTCCAAGGCATAGAAATTCGCTGTGCACAGTTGTGTCCCTTAGCGTACCAGAAACCTGTGGTCGTGGGTATATTTCTAGGCTTATCAGCACCAATACACACGCTCGTCGGTTTCAACAAAGTGACAAACATCTAAGACCTGCATTACTTCGGGATTATACTAATGCACTCACTCTATCCCCAGCTAAAAAGGTAACATTCAACTATCCACTGAGATTACCAATCTGCTGATGCGGGTGACACACACAATAGGAGATCTTGCCATTTCCACAGCGCCGCCAAATGTGAAAACATATCCCCGTAGGGAAGCAGTGGCAAAGGGTTTTTTATAAATATTTTGGGCACAAATAGGTCGAAAGGGTAAACGGTTATGACAGACGTTATACATGGAAAACACATATGTGAAGCGATCCAGACCAATGGTTTCGTTAATATGACCATCAACATTCCACATACGTGCGTCCCATTGTTAAACACGACCCTCGGGCACTTCCAACTGGGACGAACAAGTCAGGGGTAGATATACTGTCTCCTTGTGACCAGTGCCGAAAATAATTATGAGACATTTATGTCTTCGCTGGTATTATGCGCAATGAAGTGGAAGTTTCACAAAGTCTTGATCGCTATGAATACCTGTCTTATCTTATCTATGAGCATTAGAGACATAGTTTACAACCGCGATCTCTCAACGTGGATATAATGGGTCCGCCCGCCTTGAGTTTTGGCTTAATGTAACAAGAACAGGCAGCGAGATTCATTATTTTTGTTTAGATCAAGATAGGGACTACAAAGCAGTGAACTGTACACTGTGTCCGAAATCGTCTGAAATTATGTTCATTAATTGTGACATATAAAATTAAGATAATCCAAATCTTATTCCTGCATTATGAGACGATGCGATATACACTATTTATCACAATTTAGTCTCAAATGGTAGGAGAAAATGACACCTCACACCGTTAATACACTATAAACAAATGCACGCTCAGGGTAGTTTTCTTAACTTTCAAACTCCTTTTAAGTTTTTCCCTAAACGGATTGGTTGTAACCACAGGAACTCGATGCTAGCGTGTATAACATAATATATTCGTATAGAAAATAATCACACCCCTCTATATACATAGAGACTATGTATATAGAGGGGTGTGATCTTTTTTCTCTATACGAATGTATTATGTTATACGCGCTATTATCGAGTTCCTGTGGTTGTAACAGAAACAGCACTGAGGATCGCAACAATTGGCCCTGAATACATTCATTAGTCCTTAACCTTCCGATAAATCACGAAACATTGCCCATTCGATATAAGGAGGCGGACATGACTAACACAGCAATGGTCAAAAAGTTGGGATCCTGCTCAATAGGTAATGATCAGTCAGATTAATCCCTCGCCAGGATTCCCATCCACACAGCGAGAACATCGTTTTTATCGCCTAGTTATCGAGCCCTAAGGCAATCTCCCAAGGTCATAGGCAAGAGCGGTGGGGAAATACGTCCGGGATTGATGAAAGAGTCACCAAATTATACCCCTCCCTATGAACCCCCATCCCCTAATAAAGGGGTCCCAATGTCCCGGCTGGTTGCAGAGACATGTTGGCCGCTTCTCTATGGTAAAGTGGTCACCGTCAATTTTATGGGATGGTCATAAATGCCCTCCAGTATTCACATGTGAGAAGGATTAAAGGTGTGAAGTGACGATATCGCGGGATATAATAAAAGAGGATATATAGTGAGATGCGGTATAAATGACAAACATATTCAATTGTGTGCTTTACGCACTGTGTATAAGATATAATAATATTTACATCTAAACTCATGACATGTGTGTGTCAAAGTTTGATGTTAATAGCAGAAACTGCGTCACTATACTGTAATGGAAACCAAAATTTGTAATATCATAACATGTCATTTTAATGCAACAATAACTTGATACTTTGTAACTGTGGGGAGCATGTTTCTATCCTTAGCCTTTATTCTTCCTTCCTCTGGCGCGTTGTTATCAGGACAAATTAAGTGCCTTCAACGTGCATTCCCGTCGACTGATTAAGTCGCGAAGTGTCACCCCAGGGTACAAATGGTATACGTAACAGAACGCCACCCTGCTGACCACCAACCTGAATAAACAAATACAGAATTAAGTACGGTGGGTCACTTCACAAGGTAAACACCCACTAACTCTCGTCTTCTTTCAGCCCTTGTCCAGTGGTCAGTCTCACAATAGACAGCGGTTGTCAGTCAGTGTTGACCTTTGCCACAGAGCTACCCAAACGGAGAGTTACGTCCTCGGTTACTTTAGCATGAGAGGACAAAATGGGATATTTGATAAGAAAGAATAATCGATTTGTTCAAACAATATTTAAAGAAGGGAGACCCCCCAACCTCATGTCTAAACATTGGCGTCTGAGCTCACTAACAGGTGCACTTAGACTGAAGATGTATTAAAAACGTTTTAAGACATCAGGATAAAATCTGTTTTGGGCATTGTAATAATGAGGTGCTTGCCTGTATATTTCAAAGTGATATTAAACTTGAATACAACCAGCCGGTTGTTTCAATCATGTGATGTTAGCGGTGATCAGCTGGGCTCCATTCACATGCATACATTACAGATGGTGCATTAATTGGGTTTTTTCATTGCAATTAATGGTGTACGGAATACAAGATGTCGCACATCATTCCTAAAATATATATTTCAATGCAGAACAGATTGCACGCTGCATGTTAACAGATGGCTTCTGTGTCCCTTCACCCATCAGTACCTACGAGTACAGCATTAATCTTATAAACGTATTGCTGTCGTGGCCAACATGGGAACAATCTTATCCACAATTGTCATGTGGATGGAGGTAACAAATATCGGTATATCAGGCCTGAACGTTTTAAAATGCTTAGGGCTGTGGAAGCACTGATGAAAGACCGTGATGTGGAAGGTGGATTCCCACGGTGTGTGGGTTAGATAAAGGTGTTGTATTCCAACATGGCAATGTGTGGAAGAAAAATCAATAGGCTTTTATACCTGTAGTGGAAAGCACAATCGACTGAATTCCAAAAGGCTCATTAAATGATTGAGTGATAAGACTGGTTAATTATTAATGCAGGTTTACAGGTAAGAATCACGTTCGGCTGGGAAATGACGTGACAGGATGGGAAATGTGCTGATTTCACACTGGCAATGGCGGTGGAGCCTAAACTATTTCCATCATTCCACCAGTAACTGAGTGTTCTCCGAGCAGTGTAATCCTGCTGTACTATGAAATGTCGTATCAAAATGGAATGCGTATTTTTCATGATGTGGTTCATTTTTATGGCGAACATCAACACTGATCAATGTGGAAATGATATTGCGTGCACATTTACTTATAGAAAAACCAGTATAGTATCCATTACAAACTGACTGCCTTTAATGTTTAGCTAACGATCTTAGCTTTAAATAAGGTTGAAAAAGTCCCAACCTGTCACCTCTGACCGTCTGACCCTTTGTGACAAGGACCTCCCCGCGGTGTGGTTAGTTGGAACGTGACATTTTGGGGTTGACGAGTGACCATGAGCCCGCTATCTCCAGGCCGTGGGTAATATAGGGGTATTGTTTGTACGGGGTGGTGAGGGTCGTGAGACCGGGATGGAATGTGGAGTGAGATTGCGAGATAGTAACAGGTGCAGAAGTCTGCGATTGTGATAACGCCTGTTCGGTGAACCTGGGGTAACTCCAAACCTTCAAGAGGATGTGCACAGTAGACAATCCATATTTATCAACTGAAATTCAATGTTGATGACTTTTCATGTTTAGTATATGGTACATGTACTACCAGAACGACATTAACATACACCAGCCTGGCTTGTTCAGAATAAATATGTTTGAAACACATTTGCAGGATCCATTTACCCACTGAAGATGTACTTCTTATTTCCGTACCCAGTAAAGACTTATAACGGGTCTGTTTAAAGTACGTATCAGTGCTGGCGATGAATATACAAACATGATAGGAAGTTTGTTTTGATACAGTTAGCTTTATATATTCATACTATCATAATGTAATATCGTATATGTGCATTGAAAGCCCACCCAGTACATTGGTAGCGTTTTGTTACAGCCATGTGTTTATTCGTGTCGTGCTTCCCTTGTGATAATGATGTATCCACGCCACTGATTTGCCCACCTGAACTTGAAATAGAAGAGACCAGTAAAACCGCCTCATCTGCCTTATATTAAGATTCATGCATCAACATCGAGAGTGACAAAAATGTGTGCACAAGACTGTATGACAAGAGGGGTGACTTCAACTTTCCAATAGCTCCAGCCTTTGGTGTCTACATTTCACCAATGTTTAGGTACAATAGAACACTCTCTATCTACAAAGAGCGTCACACGATTCTTGCTAGTAAGTTGTTTGATCAGGTTACAACTTTCAAGGCTTTGCTAAAACTTCCAAAATGTTGTATGAAGACTCATGGAAAGCATATACGTATTTGACGCATCAGTGGACAAAATAATGCATTTCCTAAATTTGATTTGTACGATATGTTCCCGACTCTTGTCGTATTAGATAAACAATTGACTAGCCTTTGCATGTGTGTGACAGGTACCACCAGTGGGGCAAGAAACGCTCACCTTTCGGGCAATACCTGGGATCATCGCTATTTGATAGTGATTCATAAACACCTGCTTTTGATATAGTCGGAATCGTACCGTGGACTCTCACAGCAGATCTTTCTTGTGATTATGGACAGGTCTTTGTTACTTCTATTTTATTTTCACTGGCACACAGCAATTACATAAATATATGCTCATTTAAACATCATTGTATCTCTCATATATGTCATTCAAATTCCTTACATTCTCTCCATTGGATGTGATATATCTAAAGCCTTCAGAGTGTATACGGTGTCGTTTGGTGCGCCAGCCACCTGTTCACTAGCGATTAATGATGAGTATGAGTCACAGATGACAGAATATTGACAGGCTTTAGCGATAGAGTCAGATTCACAGTTTCCCGTGTCAGAATCGCTGACCTGTAAATCATGGTATTTAGCAGCTTGACAGGAGATTATACTTTCACAATAAGTTCTTTCGACCTGGTTTACCACTACATCATGTGCCTTGGTGTGTGTTACACTTGTGAATATACATCCTGCACGGGATTCATTACTGAATGGTAATAGGCTGGTCTAATGTATGCGTTATCATGATGTTCCTCTGTGTAAATAAATCATGCTTGGTGTTACCCATGACAGTAGTACCATTTGTTTAGCAGAGTAAACAAATAAATTATTCAACTGAATATTTAGTTAACACGATGTAACTATAATATGTAAATATTAAGTAAATGGTAAGTTATGATCTAAGATCTACCTTATTTACGAGTATAACGGATAAAATGTCCACCTTTTTAAACCTGTCAAACAATAGAAATTGTATCCTTTTTGAATATGAGGTATATTTCACTGCCAAAACCATTTAGTTTCGAATCGTCTCTAATAACTTTATATGAGTGGTGCTATATTAATATTTATATATATAAACTCCTATTTAATGCATGTATTTGTGATGTATAGCGGTGAGTCGAAAATAACACAAATATCCTATGCATTGTAAATGTTACTTCACTGTCACGTGTAACACATTTATCACCCTTCGTGTTATTAAAACTGTTACGAGCCTGTATTCTTGAATTTTCTATTTTAAAATATTAATTACAATTTGACCTTTTTGGAGACATTCGGCAACTAGGGAACCAATGTGATTAAGCTGACAGATGATCTGAAATGGTCACATTGCCCCAACAATGTGGGTTTTCTTTTTTTAAAAGTCCTTACTGTGACATGCCATAGTAATGACTGATTTGATATGTTTCGTCTATCTTTCTTTATCATGCATTGACCTGCAGACTATAAAACTTCGCCAACGTTGAATTATTAGTTAGAAACACAATAAACGACAAATCAAAACTGATTGAGGAAACTTTTTTCGCTGCATGCATTTTGACACAAATGATATCAGTGCATCTACTACTTATAATTAATTACAAACGTGACTGATAATAATCACGTTCCTAATGGGAAATAAATCTGGTTTCATATTCAGTGTATTCATTTTTTATGTGGAGTTAATATTTAACGTCGTATCGGCAGTATTTCAGCCACAAATCGATTAATTTTAAGATTAAAAAACATTAACAAATTTGACTCAAGATGAACACAGGTGAGAAACAGCGCGCACATGAACTTTTCCGTAAACGAACGAATGCTTGAGACGGCGAGACATCGTTGACATCGTGAACATTACATGAAAAATAACGTACGGCGGTTATCCATCACATACAGCGGGTTTAAATAGCCCCGAACTGCTTAACATCACATTTCATGAAATATTACCAAATAGGGTTTACAAACAACCGTTATTACCTTGTTTTCAAAACACTTACCAGACTGTAGTAGCCACTGACAGCACTCCCAGAACGTGTGTTTGCCCAACACAGAAACGACCTGATAATCGCCATATTCGGTTTAACTGTCGGCACAAACTCAGAAGTATTGTCTTGACTTCCACATGGATGTAGCCATTCACTGTCGGTGACTCACAATCTGTCACACACAAGTTGGTCCAAGTCTACCCTGGGTGAGAGGACCGGTGTACCTTCCTTCCCCTGGCCAGGCAAATTCCTTCTACGTAAACCCTACAGGCCCCCTTCTAACTATACCTCGAAATCCCCGTACGCTCGACTGAGCAAATAGTTTGGGTACCTCGCCTCTCAGAAAGTGCGCGGGGAAGCGTGACACAATACCCGAATGTCAGAGCAGACGACAAAAGATAGCCTGAATAACACCTGAACTATGTACTCATATTGCTTTGTTCAGTTTCGTCAAAGGGAGGTAACTGAAGTAGTATAAACTAATTTCGAAACGCCACAGGTAACCTAGATAACCAAGGTATTACTTCGTCGATATTCCGGAAGAAGATGTTCATTTTAAATACGAGATATGAGTTCAATAAATGGTCCCTCATGGTATAATCATCGTAAAACCGATATATAAACTTAACAAAACTAAAACCAGTATTTCATTTTGTAGGAGGAAAGAGAAATATTATTTATTAAGGTGCAGGTTTGTTGTTTAAGGGGAGATAACTGATTTTGTGGACGGTTGTTTACTGTCTCGGATACTGTTGGGACGAGGACGACAGGAGATTGTTCCGTCGGGCTGGTTGTCCGTCAATGCTAATGAGCCCCTTGGGGATACATTGAGTCAATCAAGCTGCCATGCATTGCCCAACGTTATCCTCAGTGTTGAGGGGTTGCATCATTAACAAACAGCATGTCATAGAAAGCATCTGGGATTATCACTTGTGTCGTTGATAACCCGTGACAATGCTAATTTCCCTATTTGTTGTTTGTGTGTACTTGAAATCGGGTATTTGTGACTTGTTTGCACATTTGAACAAGGATTCTTTTGTCTGTATTGTCCAGCTGATCTGCAATTAATTATACAGTCATTTCACCGTACGCAGTCGCCCGTTGATAAGCTGCTAATTAAAACCCTCCCGTAAATCGTTTAGAAAGCTCCCGTTGTTAATCTGCATAATCCACAAGATTCGTGGGTAGCCTCTTTATCTGAATTATCGTTGTAAAATATGTAAATAAACTTGTTTTTGTGGTCGCAGTTTTGCAGCAACGTGACATTTTCACCCTTTTCGGCATAAATCAAAGACATTTTATGACGGAAGGAAAATTCAAACCACAATCCCTTCTTTCGGCGGCCAGTCAGCAGACCATTCACCGCGACTGTATTTTACTTTGCGTGTCTGGTATAAATTTGTTTCGGTCATGTATCAAGAGGAATGCGGGTTGTATTTATTTCAGTTTGTTTCAACCGGTAAATGTGAATAAATGATAATTGACAATCTTATGCAATAATGCCCTTAAACTCGATTACCGTGATTATCCTATTGACGTCGGATCACACTGTTTATTTTTTGAGTGAATGAGTATTGCTGTTTAATAATCGCGAACCATTATATTTGGGAATATATGTAAGAGTTTTCGAATATATCAAGAAAGACCAATGTAGAGACGATTAATATGTGTGTGCACGCGTCGGGGGTGGGGGTTGGGGTGGCGAGGTAGCCCCGGTGTCATGCTCTGCTGTTCTGCTGCCTACGCAGCCTGGTTCTCTGGGTATGCTGCGCAGCCTGGTTCTCTGGGTATGCTGCGCAGCCTGGTTCTCTGGGTATGCTGCGCAGCCTGGTTCTCTGGGTATGCTGCGCAGCCTGGTTCTCTGGGTATGCTGCGCAGCATATCCAGGGACGCTGGTTGCTGTTTACACTTCATCTCACCCGATGGGGATTTTGACAATTGCATAATACAGATGGATTTAGAAAATATGGATTTCACCCTTATAATTATTGTACACTTCGTTCTAAGTATGTGTTTTCTTCTTATTCTGATTCAACATGTACAGTTAGTTACTTTAAGCTACTGCACGTATACAAAGTCAGTTATACTCATCATGGAAGAACCTCCTGCTGTTACAGTGCGGATCAATGACAGTGTTTTATCCTCAGTAGACTGCTGACTTACATGCTGTTTCACTTCTTAGGACATAAGCCGAAATTATTTTAACCACAGCTCTTATGCAATTCACCGAAGCCAGATAGGTTAATTACACTTAAGTGCTGGCAAGCAGGCCTCATTTCTCTTCTATGATGCTGTGAAATCGTAGCTGTAGGTACTGATTCGTGTTGGACAAAAGTCTTTTCCAGTGTTGTACAAAAGTCTTTTCCAGTGTTGTACAAAAGTCTTTTCCAGTGTTGTTAGACAGTCTTTTCCAGTGTTGTACAAAAGTCTTTTCCAGTGTTGTTAGACAGAGTGCCTTTCCAGTGTTGTGCGACAGTCTTTTCCAGTGATGTTAGACAGTCTTTTCCAGTGTTGTACGACAGTCTTTTCCAGTGTTGTACAAAACAACACTGGAAAAGTCTGTCGTACACGATGGTAAGGCACTCTGTCTAACAACACTGAAAAAGACTTTTGTACAACACTGGAAAAGACTTTTGTACAACACTGGAAAAGACTGTCTAACAACACTCTGTACGAGAGCGTCCTTTCCAGTGTTGTACGACAGTCTTTTCCAGTGTTGTACGACAGTCCTTTCCAGTGTTGTACGACAGAGTCTTTTCCAGTGTTGTACGACAGAGTCTTTTCCAGTGTTGTACGACAGAGTCTTTTCCAGTGTTGTACGACAGAGACTGTACGAGAGTGTCTTTTCCAGTGTTGTACCCCGCCTTGATATTGCTGGAATATTGCTTAAAGCGGCGTAAAACCATACTCACTCACTCCAGTGTTGTACGACAGTCCTTTCCAGTGTTGTACGACAGAGTCTTTTCCAGTGTTGTACGACGGAGTCTTTTCCAGTGTTGTTAGACAGTCTTTTTCAGTGTTGTACGACAGAGTCTTTTCCAGTGTTGTACGACAGAGACTGTACGAGAGTGTCTTTTCCAGTGTTGTACGACTGTCCTTTCCAGTGTTGTTCGACAGAGTCTTTTCCAGTGTTGTACGACAGTCTTTTCCAGTGTTGTACGACAGAGTCTTTTCCAGTGTTGTACGACAGTCCTTTCCAGTGTTGTACGACAGAGTCTTTTCCAGTGTTGTACGACAGAGACTGTACGAGAGTGTCTTTTTTCAGTGTTGTACGACAGAGTCTTTTTCAGTGTTGTACGGGAGAGTCTTTTCCAGTGTTGTACGACAGAAACTGTACGAGAGTGTCTTTTCCAGTGTTGTACGACAGTCTTTTCCAGTGTTGTTAGACAGTCTTTTCCAGTGTGGTACGACAGTCTTTTCCAGTGTTGTTAGACAGTCTTTTCCAGTGTGGTACGACAGTCTTTTCCATTGTTGTACGACAGTCTTTTTCAGTGTTGTACGACAGTCTTTTCCAGTGTTTGTACGACAGAGACTGTACGAGAGTGTCTTTTCCAGTGTTGTACGACAGTCTTTTACAGTGTTGTACGACAGTCTTTTCCAGTGTTGTACGACAGAGTCTTTACCAGTTTTGAACGACAGAGTCTTTTTCAGTGTTGTACGGGACAGTCTTTTCCAGTGTTGTACGACAGAGACTGTACGAGAGTGTCTTTTCCAGTGTTGTACGACAGTCTTTTCAAGTGTTGTACGACAGTCTTTTCCAGTGTTGTTAGACCGTCTTTTCCAGTGTTGTACGACAGTCTTTTTCCAGTGTTGTACGACAGAGTCTTTTTCAGTGTTGTACGGGACAGTCTTTTTCAGTGTTGTACGGCAGAGACTGTACGAGAGTGTCTTCTCCAGTGTTGTACGACAGTCTTTTCCAGTGTTGTACGACAGAGACTGTACGAGAGTGTCTTTTCCAGTGTTGTACGACTGTCCTTTCCAGTGTTGTTCGACAGAGTCTTTTCCAGTGTTGTACGACAGTCTTTTCCAGTGTTGTACGACAGAGTCTTTTCCAGTGTTGTACGACAGTCCTTTCCAGTGTTGTACGACAGAGTCTTTTCCAGTGTTGTACGACAGAGACTGTACGAGAGTGTCTTTTTTCAGTGTTGTACGACAGAGTCTTTTTCAGTGTTGTACGGGAGAGTCTTTTCCAGTGTTGTACGACAGAAACTGTACGAGAGTGTCTTTTCCAGTGTTGTACGACAGTCTTTTCCAGTGTTGTTAGACAGTCTTTTCCAGTGTGGTACGACAGTCTTTTCCAGTGTTGTTAGACAGTCTTTTCCAGTGTGGTACGACAGTCTTTTCCATTGTTGTACGACAGTCTTTTTCAGTGTTGTACGACAGTCTTTTCCAGTGTTTGTACGACAGAGACTGTACGAGAGTGTCTTTTCCAGTGTTGTACGACAGTCTTTTCCAGTGTTGTTAGACAGTCTTTTCCAGTGTGGTACGACAGTCTTTTCCAGTGTTGTTAGACAGTCTTTTCCAGTGTGGTACGACAGTCTTTTCCATTGTTGTACGACAGTCTTTTACAGTGTTGTACGACAGTCTTTTCCAGTGTTGTACGACAGAGTCTTTACCAGTTTTGAACGACAGAGTCTTTTTCAGTGTTGTACGGGACAGTCTTTTCCAGTGTTGTACGACAGAGACTGTACGAGAGTGTCTTTTCCAGTGTTGTACGACAGTCTTTTCAAGTGTTGTACGACAGTCTTTTCCAGTGTTGTTAGACCGTCTTTTCCAGTGTTGTACGACAGTCTTTTTCCAGTGTTGTACGACAGAGTCTTTTTCAGTGTTGTACGGGACAGTCTTTTTCAGTGTTGTACGGCAGAGACTGTACGAGAGTGTCTTCTCCAGTGTTGTACGACAGTCTTTTCCAGTGTTGTACGACAGAGTCTTTTCCAGTTTTGTACGACAGAGTCTTTTCCAGTGTTGTACGACAGAGTCTTTTTCAGTGTTGTACGGGACAGTCTTTTCCAGTGTTGTACGACAGAGTCTTTTCCAGTGTTGTACGACAGAGTCTTTTCCAGTGTTGTACGACAGAGTCTTTTTCAGTGTTGTACGGGACAGTCTTTTCCAGTGTTGTACGACAGAGACTGTACGAGAGTGTCTTTTCCAGTGTTGTACGACAGTCTTTTCCAGTGTTGTACGACAGAGTCTTTTCCAGTGTTGTACGACAGAGTCTTTTCCAGTGTTGTACGACAGAGTCTTTTTCAGTGTTGTACGGGACAGTCTTTTCCTGTGTTGTACGATAGAGACTGTACGAGAGTGTCTTTTCCAGTGTTGTACGACAGTCTTTTACAGTGTTGTACGACAGTCTTTTCCACAGTGTTGTACGA